GAGCTCTCGTCTTCTGGGGTGCTTTCGCCGTTTATTCCCCAGTCCTGTTTGCTCACAAACGTTGCGTTCAACTGTCCTGTCCAGGTGGCATTGAGTTGTTTGCCGACTTTGCGTCCGCCGTTCCCTTTCTTTGGCTGTCTGCAGTCTCGGGCCATGTGGCCTGGCTTGTCGCAGTTAAAACAGAGTCGTTCCTTGAATTGTCTGTCTTTCTTAGGGTCACGGGGTCGTCCAGGTTTGAACGTGGCATCGAGTTCCATTGGGTCCGACCAACGGTTGTCTCGCGGGTGTTGATCCCGTCGTCTGCCCTCGTTTCCCCGGTAGGGGTAACTTTTCTTGGGCTTGTCATAGGTCCGACGTTCCTTCTGGAATTCGTATAGTCGATTGTCGATTCGGACCGTATGTTCGATTAGCGCTACCATGTCCGTTGGTTGTTGTTCCAAACGGGCAAGTTCCATACGTATATGGCTCTTCAGCCCACGTCGGTAGTGGCTGATGAGTGCGCTGGCGTCCCATCCTGTCTGATTGCCGTATCTCTGGAATTCTGTGGAGTACGTGAGGGCGCTGCCAGTCTGCTTAAGTGCAAACAGATGGTCTTCCGCGGTCTTAATCTCATCGATGTCTCCGAACATGCGTCGGATTTCCTTACAGAATCCTTTCCAGCTGCCAAACATAGTCTGCGTAGTTGTCATGCTTCCATTGGTACTTTCATATTTGAAATAGTCCTTGAGGAATGGTTCGATCCATCGCAGGGCTTCCCCCCTAAGGTAGGACGCAGTCCACAGGGCATAGCTCTCCTGGGTGGGAAACTTCTCGTCATTGAAGTGCTGGTACAGTTCGACCTGTAGCAAAAACACCTCAAGTTCCTTTCGGTTGCCGGAGTAAGTGTCGGGCAACTTGACGCGTAGAGTTTCCTTGAGTTCGTTGACGGTGGGTGCATCGGGCATTTCTTCATTCTCAGGCTTAGACCTCTGAGATGAAGTTGGCGTGGTGGGGGTTTTCCCCTTCGAACTGACGACAGACATGTTGCTTTGTGTGTAAGCCGGTACCTCGTAGAAGTGGTGCTCAAAGTGTAACGCTGACTTCTAAACGATAGAAGACACAGAGGTTCTCTTGCGTAAAGGTTTACTTATCAGAGGAGGCAGGGGATCAGACACAAAGGCTTCAAGTAACACGTTACTAGTATATAACAAATACTGTATTGAGTTGAGCACGAAGCTCCTATCTAAGGAAATACTATCTACTTATATAGTGGCGTCGTGCCTAGTGGACTCTTGGGAACTCACTCGAGTCCTCGGAGTCCTGGACTCTTAGGACTCTTCTCATCATCCTGCGAGTCCATCACGTGCCTAGTGGACTCCTGGGAACTCACTCGAGTCCTCGGAGTCCTGGACTCTTAGGACTCTTCTCATCCTCCTGCGAGTCCGTCACGTGATACTTTCGGAACTACTATTCCCCGCTGCCCCTCCAGGTACCAGGGCCGGTCTCATGCGACCTCCCTCCTTCCTGTCCTGTAGTTGGCCAGCCTTCTTGTTCCGTCGTAACAGCTTAGAGTTGATTCTCAGAGCTCCTCAAAGTTGGTAAAAGTTGCTGTCCTTCATCTTCTTAAGTGTTGGTTGGTTTTGAGTACAGTTGAACCTGGATATAAGGATCCCTCGATATAAGGATATCCTCGGTATAAGGATGGGTAGTCTGGTCCTGTAGTTTTTTAGCTGTAAAATAAGGATTATTTCTGTATAAGGATGATCCTTAAATCCGTGGTCCCAAAATTATTTTTATACCAAACAATCCTTATAACTTGTGTTCACCAACTCCACCATGGAGGCCTCGCAACCAAAAAAAAGGCACGCACTCACCGATGTTCAGCGACAATGTATTCGACGCAGATATGCCAGCCACCCGTGCACTCAGCCTGCACTTATAGCCTGGTATGCCGCTCAAGCTCAAGGTCACCAACTTAGCCAAGGCCAAATATCCTCAATTTTTTCCATGAAGTACCAATATCTCGACTCAGATACACGGAAGAAGACTGAACTTGGCACAAAGAGAAAAAGTAATGGCAAATATCCTGACCGAGATAGCTCTCTTCGACTGGCAACAATGCTGTAACGCTGACTTCTAAACGATAGAAGACACAGAGGTTTCTTGCGTAAGGTTGACTTGACAGAGGAGGCAGGGGATTAAACACAAAGGCTTTCCAAGTAACATGTTACAGTATTGTAAAGAATACTATATTGAATTGAGCACGAAGCTCCTATCTAAGGAAATACTATCTACTTATATAGTGGCGTCGTGCCAAAGGGATATCCGTGGATAACATGGATAACATAATATCCATGATATCCAATGTTATCCATCACCTGATATTCCGTGGATCCCTGTGGATAACATGGATAACATAATAAGATATCCAATGTTATCCATCACATGACATTCTGTGGATCGCTGTGGATAACATGGATAACATAATATCCATGATATCCAATGTTATCCATCACGTGAGGTTGCAGCTGTAAGCGCTAGCCATAGCACTAGCACTTAGCCGTAACACTAGGGGGCCCCCTAATAGGCCTAGTCCCTAGGTCTTGGTGATTAAGTAGTATGCTGACTACTTAGGTAGGGTGGCGCCCACCACTGTCCATAGACAGTCAGTCTTTAACCATGTCATCTTCCAAACATACCAAAATCAAAGAACATCTTGCTCTTTCCCAAAGGATATTGGCTACTGGCTTCGAGATGCCTTCAGTGCTTATGAAGTTGTAATGGAATGTCTTATGGATAACGGAACTCCGTTGAAATGGACACAAGTTATGTGGTTTCCTCTAAACATAACGTCAATTTATCAACCACTTAATCAAGGGATTATTCAAAATCAGAAGTGCTATGTACAAAAGCAAATGATTCTATTCTTGCAAAAGGAGTTTGATGCAAACCGCGATTACCAAAAACTCACCATGTTCTCTATGCAATTTGATGGGGAATTTCTACATGGGAAACAATTCAACCAATGACAATTATCAACTGTTAGAAGAAGGGGTTTATGGTTTCTACAGAACGTAGTTTATATAACCCATATGTCATACTGACATTCGTTGCACTCAGTTTGCTATCAAACTCAAGAGCAAACTTGGAAATCTCCTCCTCAAACCTACAAGTCACTATACATATTTTGGCTTATCACACCAACAGCAAGAGCAATACTACTCAATGATTGCTACAACCATCTATGATTCATTACACGTCATCGCTCCTTAGTTACTGGGCCGATATTACCACATAGCATATCTCTACAACCCTCTATGATTCATTACATGACATCACTCATACTACCACACTACACATATCTCTACCAACTAGAGGCCTAGGAGCATGAACGATAGCTCTAAAAGCTCCTATGAACCTCTATGATTCATTACATGTCATCGCTCTTTAGTTACCCACAAGATTGGTTAAGTTATGACATAATTTGTCTATGACATAATTTGTCTATGACATAATTTGTCTATGACATAATTTGTCTATAGGGGTACTCTGACCTTGGACCTCCTTTTACTTCCTATAGGCTACGAACCTAAGAGATGGTTCTATGGGATTCTCTTATGTCGACTACAGTTACCAAGCCTGGTAAGTCATGGAAAGTCTTGGAAAATGAGAGAACTACACTTCTTTAGCATAAATAGGATTGCCCTTTCCTTAAGAAAGGGCAAGCAGACAATACAGTAAATCGACTATCACATACTTCCACGTCTTTTCCAAGCTTCCAAGCATTCATCTTGTTACTCCTTGTTTCTGAAAAGTCAGTGAGGTGTTAACCTCTGACTTACCCCTGAGTTCCCAGACTCAACATTTGTTGCAACTTGTCTGAACCACTTCACTACATCACACACCTGATTGCTGCGTTGTGGAATAGTCTAAGCTACGACCCTTTGGCTCTTTTTCCTAAGACAGTGTGTTGTCTTAGTAAATTCATCCCTTCCTTGGGTGGCTAGATTCTCACATCTGGTGCACCCACCACTACACCATAGGAAGCATCTCATGAAGTTTTATAAAGATTCAAACAAGTATGAGTACATTAGCTGAAGAGCAAAGGATTCATAGGCTTATGAACATTCAAAACTTCATGAATCCATCAAATGAGGTTATTGAAGAATTGTATGAAGAGCTTGTTAAGCAGATTGCAGTACAATATGACATTATACAAGAGGAGGAAGAGGATAACAATAAAGTTTCAATGTCCAAAGTAATTGCAGCTTTGAAGACCTTGAAGCTATATTAAGAACAGCAAGCAAATCAATCAAATCAAGGCTTCATTGCTCACTTGAAAAGAGAGCTTCGGAAAGTAGAGGTTGTACGGGTACAGTTACAGAAACAGTCTACTCTAAATGGCTGGCTGGGGGGTATGGGGGCAGGATTGTAGGGGCGAGGACTTTGGAACGAGCATGTGCGACCTATAATGTTCAGCTTTCCATTGCTCTTCACCACGGATAGTACATGGCACCAGGCCAGCCGGCAATGAGCAGTGAACGGGAAAGCTTCTAGATATTTATGATTCTGCATACAAAAACCACCGCTCCAAAGACATATAAGATGCCAATTATGGACGTACACCTTTGATATAATATGAAAAGCGCACGAAAGGGATATCGATGGCGGGATATCGATGGCTAATCTTAGTATATGTACGTGCCATCTCAAACGTCGATTTTGTCATGATTTGTATTCAAAATTGCCAGTCGGAGAATATCGTCCAAATTGCGCATTCCGCAGTTTGTTTCTATCCTTGGCGACAAGAACATCCGTACGGAAATAGATATATAACATCCCATGGACATTTAGGAGTCGGCTTAATTGGTTGTTTCTTGTTTTTGGTGGACTCGCGCTACCAGGAGGCCTGGTCCTGCATATGTATGCGGCTTCCTGCAGGCGCTGTTTGTCCCGCACAGCTGTCTGTTGGGGGTGAAAACAACTTAACTTGACATGTTCCCCATATCTTAGGGATACCCCAATGAATTTTCCCATAGCCGTGGCGTTTTCTTTGTTCTTCCTCAATGTTTGGGCAAACCGTAGTGCTGCCACGTACGCTTAGTACTTGACACCTTTGAGGCTATCTACCTTTCTTCCTCTACATCCGTTTTTCATGCTTTGCTGCACGCGGTGCAGGGGTATCCGAGGAGTGAAACAAAGGGCCTTCCAATGTACTGAACCATGATCTCTCGGGTTGTTTACCGTCGCCTTTGGGCAATGGTGTTGATAGCTTCGTCGGCGGCTGGGGGTGTTATCACATCTCCCGCAGTGCTGCCAAGAGCAACAACGACAGGCTCCGCTCTCATAGACTACCTTCATGAGTGTGATGGGAAGCATATCTGTAAGTTCTAAATAGCGTTTGGTGCGTTCAAGCTGACATTGAAAGTCTGGTGTCCACAGGCATCTGGGACTTGTTATACTGGGATCGACGGCTACATCGGATGCTGCTCTACGTATGCACCTATCCTTCCACGTTATATTGATAGATTCTAACCTTTCCACAGGACCTCATGTGCAGCGCGAACTACTTGCATTCCCTATGATTCCGAGGGTTCGCAGAAATGTGATCCAAATTCAGGTGGTTGCTGGAGCTGGTACGCTACCCCAGTACCCCCAGTCCCTGTTGACAGTAGCTGCTCCTAAATAGGCTTATTTACGGCAGACACTTTAAATTGGCTTCTAATAGTACCCAGTGCTAACAAGACACAGCTCAGACTCCAATCTTCCAGCATGCGTTACGGTCACGAATGTTGTGGCGAAACAGCACATATTCTATTGCAGCTTCACCGAAGCCATATACACATCCTCCTACGAGAACCTGGTCACCATTGGCTCCATGGCGTTTCCTCCTAGTGGTGCCACCATGACCACGGGATCAAAGACTGCCCAAATCTCGTCATCCACCATGGGCCCAGTCTCACCGACCGCTACCGTCCCCACTTCCATCCTCTCGTCTCAATCCCGATCTGGGCTCTCTGCCGGCTCCATTGCAGGCATCGTTATTGGTGTAATCTGTGTCCTCGCAATTATAGCCATCATTGCTTACCTCCGTTACTGCCACTACTGCAAGCGCCGCGACCAAGTCCAGCATGTCATTGACGCCAGCTGTGGCCCAAGAAACGGCAATATGTCCCAGAAACAACCCGTCCATCCATCTCCTATTAATGACGGCCCAGACACTCCGCAGCCGACGTACACAGACCCTGAGTCACCGGGTTATGTCGCGAGGTCGGTTGCAAATGACCCAGAAGACTACTTCTCTCCCATCGAGGTTATCAAGCGAGTGAATACCGCAGAGGCACTGGCGAAGCTGGAGAATAGAGACAAGGGCTTGTTTGAAATGGGAGCAGATACGGAACATTCCGTAGATCGAACGATTGGAAGAGCGGAGATAGGATTTGGGAGTGGTGATGCTGCCGCTGGGATCTGGAAGACTATTGCCGCTCAGTCGGGAAATCCAAGTGCGGAATGGAGGAACAGATACGGGCCAACAGAATTGGAACCCTCCTCCACAAGGGAAGGAGAGGGTGTACTTAGTATACAAAAGGGTTCACCGCCATCGAGGCAGCCTTGGAGAGCAACGGACCCGGCTGATGAGGAGCTGGTGCAGCATAATCAGCGAGCTTTCAGTGCCAATAGCATCGGTACCGGTGTAGCAGATGCGAATGGAATCAGCCCCGCCCTCACAAGCACTACGTTTGACGCCAGCACCGTTGTCAGCCCTCTTCTTTCTAGCGGGACGTTCTCGACCACGGCACTGATGGGTCTGAACCCGAAGCCATCCGTGGGTGAGCTGAATCCGAGGGCAACAGTTGAGGGTCCGCTGAACTGGCCAATCTTAGCAGTAAACCGAAACTCGAGCAAGTTGACGAGCGCGACCGGATGGGAGTCGAAGTATCTGAGTCCCGAGATGGCGGTTTCAAACGGGTTTTCGGCTGGGGAGGAAGTGGCAGAGGGTGCTAATATGACTCCGGAGAATCGCGATTCTGGTCCCTCTGATGCCGCCTCTATTATGCCGTCGAGAGCGTCGAGATGATACCACGGGCAGATGAAACATCAGCCGTAGAATAGTGCATGGAACTTCAAATAATAGCTTGTGAATGCAATGCATTAGGATCCTACTTACCACAGTAGGTTAATAAATCAGTCAACGGCAATCTTATGTGATCGAATAGATCCGTCATAGCACGTATTCCTTATGGCACTCTGCTCCCAGCTCGATGGGAAGGTGTGTAGTTTCGTGTCACAGTTGGGTCGAAGTGGGATCCATCCTTCACTCACAAGTCCACCGACTGTAGCTTAAATATCAATATCGTTCCATTCCAGTCTATATACACCCATGCACACAACCCAAGGCTTCCCACTTCTAGTTACTCCTCTCTCCGCCCTTCGCGGCTCTGAGCTCATCCATCTTCGCGACGCGCTTCTTGAATTCCTCGTACTGGCACTTCTCGTAGCTGTGTCTCTCTGTCTGTAGAAACTAGTTAGCACCTGAAGTCCCATTATGCCATCATCCAACGGGTCCAGCAAATATAGACTCATTGGGCCTTGCTCAACATACCTCGCACTTCCATGGCAAGTAGTATTCCTCGTAGCGGCAGCGGTTTAGGGGGATGAGGAGGTTGGCGCAGGAGTCTCTGTATGCCATAGGCAGCTTGGCCTCGGACATCTGGGCCCTTGTCGCAGCTGTTCCGCAATAATCATTAGCAAACATAGCTTCCCAATCGCTGAAGACTCCATGGCTCTCCGAAAACAGCACCACGGCGACCCATTGGACCGTAGGGGACTCACGAGTAGACGCATCACTAAGGCCAACGGCCGACTTCACAGTTTCAACGACTGTCATATTGCTCAATTGGCCCTCGTTCGATGTTGCGGAGGGTTTGGGTAGTTCGCTTTTGCGGGGCATACATACAGACGTGTCGTCGGTCGAGGTTTCTCGCGGATGCGCTACTTCCAATGGGGACTAGCGCCTAATGTACACTTAACGCGGTCAAAGCCGCGGACAACGCGTTTGATCGCGTTCGTTTATCATCCCTACCCGCAACAAACCGAACGGCCGCGCGAACGATATCAAGAAGGCAAATCAGTCTGTGGAAAGCCGAGAGCGGATATTTCTACGAAGGGAATTAGGATCTAAGGTTACTTAATGGTACTACTGGACGTCTAGAAGACCTTCTCGAATCTCAGATCTCAGTGACATAGCGTGACAGCGCTCTTGCGCTGCGCAAACATCAATCGCCAGCAAGATGGTGAAAGGTGCCGTAGGACCGGGAGTGTATAGCGCAACATACAGTAACGTGAGTCTCTGTCATTTATATGCAGCTCTTCGACGCTGGCACTTGCCCAAAATCCCGATGAAAACCGCTAACCGACCTAGATTCCGGTGTATGAGTTCCAATTCGGTGTCGATCTGAAAGAGCATGTTATGCGCCGGAGGCACGACGACTGGATCAATGCGACGCACATCTTGAAAGCCGCTGGATTTGATAAGCCTGCCAGAACGAGAATCCTGGAGCGCGAGGTTCAGAAAGAGTTGCACGAAAAAGTTCAAGGTGGCTACGGAAAGTACCAAGGTATAGATTTCAATCATAAATCTTCAAATGCGGTTCTGACATATATAGGAACATGGGTGCCTCTCGAAAAGGGCGAAGAACTGGCGCATCGCAACGGTATTTATGAGAAGTTGCGCACAATCTTTGAATTCGTTCCTGGCAACGATAGCCCTCCTCCAGCACCAAAGCATACGACGAACAAGCCGAAAGCGCCCAAGAAGCCTGCAGTGCCTAAGTTCCACAGCAGTGAGTTTCTAATCTACCATGCTTAGCAGACCACTTTTGGCTAACAATCAAGAACCAGCACCCGCACCAGCTCGGATAGAGGAAGATCAGTATGACAATATCAGCGCGCAACTCAACGACGATGAGACGCCAGACGATGCCACTGTGGCTTCGGCGTCGTTTATGGGCGAGGATGATCGCTATGATCTCTCTGCTCCTTCTACCGCTCACCGAAAGCGAAAGCGCGATGAGGCGACTGTGAGCCTGTCCGACCAATACCACATGGCTTACTCGGACGAGCTTCTGGACTACTTTATGCTCGCCCAAGCCAGCGAACCTGCCTCGCGTCCCGAGCCGCCACCAAACTTTCAACCCGACTGGCTTATCGACTCGGATGGTCACACTGCACTCCATTGGGCCAGTGCCATGGGAGACATTGACGTGATGAAACAGCTCAAGCGCTTCGGTGCCAATCTCTCGTGCAGGAATATCCGCGGCGAAACCCCTCTCATGCGCTCCGTCCTTTTCACAAACTGCCTCGACAAGCAATCCATGCCCCGCGTTGTCCAGGAGTTGATCTCGACAATTGACTGCGTGGATGCCCACGGCGCAACCGCGATTCACCACGCTGTCGCCTTGACCCACTCCCGCACTAAACTCCACTGCGCTAGATACTACCTTGACGTGGTGCTCAACAAGCTCTCCGAGACAACCGAGCAGGATGAGGTTCGCCGCCTCCTCGACATCCAGGACTCGAACGGCGACACAGCATGTCACATCTCCGCGACTAACAAGGCCCGAAAATGCGTACGGGCTCTCATCGGCCGCGGAGCCAGCACCGACATCCCAAATAATGCAGGCGTACGCGCGGACGAGCTGATCCAGGAGCTAAACAACACTCGTCGCGAACGCAACCTTGCCGCATCCTCGTCCCCATTTGCGCCAGACTCGCAACGCCAGATGACGTCGTTCCATGACATCAACATTTCGCAATCGACTCCTAACGCCAGCCAACACCTCAGTTCAGCGCTGGCTTCGCGGAAAGAGGCGCATCACAGCGAAGCGGCGCAATCTGTCTCGACGAAACTGATGCCTCTCATGGCGGAGAAATTCATGGACCTAGCGCGCAGTTTTGATGAGGAGCTGCTCGACCGGGAGAACAGCGAGAGGGAGGCTAAGCGGATCCTGCAGAGCTCACAGGTGGAGCTCGCGACGATCCAGCGGCAAATCCACGAGCTGGGGAATGTGGAGGAGGATGACAGTGCGGTTCAGAATGAGGTGAACCAGCTGGCGCATGCGCAGCAGCGAGTAGTAAGTCTTGTAGAACAGCAGCAGGCGATTATGCTTGGTGCGGGGGCGGCGCAGGAGGAGAGCATGGCGAATGGAAATGGGCATGAGGAAGGTGGGGTGGAGGGTTTAGCGGAGCTTCTGAGGGCGCTGTTGGAGGAGCAGGGGAGGAGACAGGGGTTAGTAACTGAGTATGCGGGCGCGATGGCTGATGTGGGGATGGGGGAGAAGGGAGGGATGTATAGGAAGCTTACAGCTAAGTGTTTAGGACTTAGCGAGGAAGAGGTGGATGAACGACTGGATGGGCTTCTCGGTGTGTTGGAAGAGGATGGGGGTGCCGAGGGATAAAGAAACGAGAGCCGAACGAGGTTGGAGTAGGTAGTAGTCTGTTTGGGTATTTCGGGTTTCCTCGACGGATCGAATCACCGCCGGGTTGTTGGATTAAAGGAGTCATGGGCGCCACATGATGGTATGGAGTTCTCTGGTTGTTTTGTTTGATTGGTGGCTATCTGGATTATAACGATGATATGCCCGGCGGTTGACGACCTTTTGAAAGGTTATATTTGAATACGTTCGTCAGTATCGCAAACGAAAAGGTTCAAACACCGTCGAATCCCGGCCAGGAACGGCTATCGGGTATTCTGACTATGGTGACTACTGTCCAGATTGTGATTGTAGTGACTGTAATCGGGTATTATGGCTGTAGTGACGGATGTCTAGTGCTGCAGGTATGGTGACTGTGGCGGTAAAATCACTGTAGAAGACCCGAAGACATAGACCGTGCGATTAGGGAAATGTAAGGGTCTTAGATAGGGCTGGCGCTACGTGTGAAGAGAACTACTGTAAGGAGAGTGCTAACAAAGATTTAAGCAGCCGTCATTCTTTGCGGGTGAGTACTGGAATACAATCAAAATGTAACAGCGCCAAATAAGACTGCTTACAGCAAATTGATATATTAATTTTCGGAATGGAAACAATATACCACCTTGGTTAATAATAATAAAACCTCGCTAGTATTCCCAAAGAGAATTGACGCGCTCGCGTCAGAGTTGTCGGGCTTAATCGGGCTAGCGCGATGGCTAGCTCGCTTTGCCCACTACAACCATCGGATGTAAACAACGGCGGCAGGAACAACCTAAGAACATCACGAAGCACGCCAACGCAACGCCCAACGACTCCCACGATCACCACAAAGCCTCCAATTCGATATCAAGCGCGTCGACATACCCAAAGCATTAATTCAGGACCGACTGGAGTTTCGAAAACGCGACATTTTTCGCGCGTGGCGATCCACACCACCACCCAACCAACACATACCAGAGAACAAGCCCATGACGAGCTCGGTCACCGCTCCATGACTACCCTCATACGCACGCGGAATCCTCTAGAAACGCTGAGCATGAATACACAGCCGCAGCGCAGGCGCAGTAAGCGATTAGCCAGTATGTGCAACCCATGCGCCAAGCCAGGTGAGATAGATGGATAGAGGGGCATGCTAACAATTGTCACAGCATACGATGAATCAGATGGCGACTTCAACTTCACTCGCGGCTCGAAACGAACAAAGACTACGGCACCGCTAGAGGCAGTAGCTGAGACGGAACCGGCCCCGTCGCGGAGTAGGAGGCAAGAGAAGACTGAAGATGATGCGCCAAAGGATTTACCGTGGCGGCCCTCAAAGCGAAAGATGAGCTTTTCCGCCACGCCCACAAGGCCTGATCCCAAAGTACCATCACCTAAAAAAGACGCGCGCGACACGACCAGGAGGAAAAAAGAGAGCGCTACAACACGACCCGAGCCGCGCCGTGGGACACGCAGGAGTACACGCTCCTCCCTCGAAAACGCGCGCCGAAACGAGGCAGAGCCAGACTATGACGAAGACGCCATCGAAATGGTCGGCGGTGTATCCACCGTCTCGCCACCCCCACCAGAGCCCGAGGCGCAATCGATAACGCGCACGCCTATCCTGAGCACATCTCACGCGACGACGATCGCGCTCCCCTTCAGCGACACGCCAGTGTTGAACCGGAATAAAGCCCTTCGCCAGATGACAGCACGACGGTCGAGTCTAGGATTGCGGGGGCGACGCGCCAGTTCACTGATAGATAGCGGACACACCGCCACACCGCACGCGGCCGTGCCAACGGACGAGTTCTACAAGCACATCGAAAGTTCTCTACCCGAGCCGCGGCGCATGAGGCAGCTTTTGACGTGGTGTGGAGAGAGGGCACTGGGAGAGCGGCCCGGAATGGGAGAGGGTAGCGCGGCGGTGCTGGCGGCGAGGCATATACAGGAGCAGGTTCTGAAGGAATTCTCGGAGCGAAGTGAGCTGAGCGATTGGTTTGCGCGGGCGCGGGGAGAGAAGAAGGTGGTGGTTGTGCCGAATCCATTGAATGTGGGGAATGCGGCGAGGGTTGCGGAGTTAGAAGAGAGGGTTAAACGGTATGTCCTATTTTTTTTCATCCTCTCTGGCACGCGAGGGAACTACAGATAGATGAACAGCTGACTAACGATCAAACACAGATTACGGAAAGAGAAAGCAGAACTCATCGCCGTCTCCACGCCTCCGCCCTCTCAACCTCCAAAACCACAAAAATCAGCACCCTTAGACCCTACCCTCCTACCCGCCTCTAGCGCCCCCATACTCGAGGCGCTGCATACCAACACCACTCTCGCGCCGCGCGTCACGTCACGCCTTAATGCCGTGAGGGATCGTCTAGAGCTGGCAACGGATGTGTTTGCGCATGCGGTGCATGGGCTCAAGCAAGACGGGAAAGAGATGGACGGAGTGGCGGGACGGGTGATGGATGGGTGTGAAGGGCGGTTGGGTGAGAGGGAAAATAAGGAGAGGGGAGGTGGCGTGGGCATGAGGGATGTGTTGAGAGCGTTGGGTGGGGTTATGCCTGGTGGGGCAAGGAAGTGAGGTGGGGTTCAGAAGTTGACTTGCTTTTAGCTTTTAAGGGTGCGGAGGGTTGGGCTTGGGGTCGGGGCGTATTTTGGGGGTGTTTATTTGATGGCTTCTGGAGGGATGGCTAGGACGATTGATGAGTTTGTTGTGAGATACGGGATTGGTGTTGCACATACGATGAACCCCGTGGTGGGGTAATGAAGGAATCATTCAATCATTCGAGCTTCTTGTGCTTTGCGTGTCCGGCTGCAATGTCTCATATTCTAACATCCAAGCTACGGGGCAATGCAATTTCAAGCTTTCAAGTAATTGTTTCGGCAACCTAGACTACCAAGTCTAATTTTCCAGGTTGCCAAGCTCAAAGGTAAGCATCAAGGTCCACATACAGACGGTAAGCGCCATAAATCAATGGCTGCTCGCGTCTAATCCTCATCTTTTCCCAATGAGGCAAGTACGACTCTGGCATGCCCTGCCTGCCGTGGTAGAATGGAGCATGATGTTACTAATATAGCATACTTCGACCCCAAGTCACCAGCACAAGGAAGGCAGGACCATCCAATTATGGAAGATGTTCACCGTCAGTCACCGTACAACAAACTTTGGAATATTAGAATCCTAAAACGATATGTATGACCTTGTGACCCTCGCCAGCTTGACTATGTAGGTCACTCGTCGCCTGCCGCCTGTGCGATGCGACACGCCTATAAATACAACCACGCCGACATCAACAGCCCTAAAATTTCAAGACTCAATTTTGTCATATCAACCCCACAATGAAGCTGCCAGCACTACTCTCCCTCGGCTTCCTAGCCGCCTCCATTAACGCCACCACCCCCCTACTAAACTGCCTCTCCAGCGCCCATGTCCCCTTCATCACCCCCACCTCCCCCACCTGGCCCCTCTTCGCCTCCCCCTTCAACAGTCGCGTAACCTACATCCCCGCCGCAATCATCATCCCCATCTCCACCTCCCAGCTCGCCGCCGCTGTCGCCTGTGGCGCCGCGCACAAAGTCAAGGTAACCCCGAAGGCAGGGGGCCACTCATACGCCTCTCTCGGTTTAGGGGGGGAGGATGGCCATTTAGTGATTGAGCTTGATGAGATGGCCGGTGTGAGTTTGAATCGGGAGATGGGAATAGCGACAATCGGGCCGGGGGCGAGGTTGGGTGATGTTGCGACGGGGATCTATAATCAGGGGAAGAGGGCGTTTTCACACGGGACGTGTCCAGGGTGAGTTGCCCCCATAACTCCGGAAGGGGCTTGTCTGTGAAGAGTCACTGACTGACCAGGAAGTGTCGGGATCGGGGGCCATGTCTTGCATGGGGGCTACGGTATGTCATCGCGCAATCACGGGTCCGCGCTCGACTGGGTGGATAGCATGACCGTCGTGCTCGCCAATGCAAGCGTAGTTGATTGCTCCGCTCACCTGCACCCTTCTCTATTCTTTGCAATGCTAGGTGCAGGGTCGAGTTTTGGGATCGCGACCGAGTTTCGGTTTAGGACGTTTGAGGCGCCGGAGGTAGTGACGTGGTTTTCTGCCGCGCTGCCGTGGGATGGGGAGACGGCGGTGGAGGGGCTAGAGGAGTTGGAGTTGTTTACGAGGTATAGAATGCCATCGGAGCTGAATATGCGGCTCATGGCATCGGTGAATGGGAGTTCGCTGGATGGTGTTTTCTATGGAGATAGGGCGGGGTTGGATGGTGCGCTGGGTCCGTTTTTGGACAAGGTGAATGGGAGTATTGCAAGGGCTGGGACTACGGGGTGGATTGGTGGGTTGGAGCATTTTTCGGAATCTGCTACGGGGTTGATTGTACCGGAGCCTTATAATATTGCGAGTGCCTTTTTCCCGCTACCAAGAAGATGAGATAGTGCTGACACGCCGCAAGCACGACACTTTCTACGCCAAGAGCCTCACGCTGACGGGGCTAAATGGCACGTCGGCTGAGAATTTCGTGGACTACTGGTTTAACGTCGCGTTCAACGTGGATCGGATATGGTGGTTCCAACTCGACCTGCACGGCGGGGCAAACGCAGGCGTCTGGGAGCATGATGATGGGGTGACGTCGTATGCGCACAGGGATAAGTTGTACATCATCCAGTTTTACGACAGAGTGATAGGGCAGCCGTATCCGGCGAGCGGCTTCCAGTTTCTAGACGGCTGGTGGGATGCTACGACGGAGCCGCTAAATTGGGGAGAATGGGGGATGTATGTCAATTATGCGGATGCGAGGTTGGGGCGGCGGGAGGCGGAGGAGCTGTATTGGGGGAAGAATGTTCCAAGGCTGCGGGAGATCAAGGCGCAGGTTGATCCGGGAGAGCTTTTTTTTAATCCGGTTTCGATTGAGCCGGCAAGGGGGTAGGTGAATCTTCGAATATAGCAGCAGGCTGAGATGATCTATGGCGCTCGTTAGGTACTACGAAATGTCTAAGGATTGTTTGAGTCCACAAGTGTTTTGCACTGTATCATGGTATGGTTCATGAGTGTTGCTTTATGATGTGGGTGGTTCGGCAGTCTGCGAGATTGATTTACATATATATACATACAATAACGATCTCGTCAGTGGCCGCCGCTTCGTGTAAATGAGAGGTTCCTCCTTTTACGACGCCAGTGGCTGCTCCCTCTTGCTCATCCTTCGCTCCGCTTCTCTCGTCCTTTGCTCTATACTCATTACTACATCTCTCATCCATTCTTCAACTTTGTCCCCAGAGTGCGTCGGCGTTCCATTAGCCACGTTGCCAGAGCATATCATCAACCAGAAGCACGCTGCCAATCGTGGTACAGTATATATCCTGTGCATCTGCGCCGTTTGTGTGTCCGGAACCGTTCCCCCGGTAAATGTCCCAGGATATACAGCAAGGCGACCCGCGCCCGGTCGTCATGCCGCATCGTCGTACCCATCTTAGCTTAACTATCATCCTCCAGTCATCCACCTATCCCCCCCTCCCTCCTTCTCCCTCCGCCTAATCCTCCAAGGCACGCCGCCGCTCCCAAGTCCAACGCCCCATGCCCTCCGCTCCCGCGGCGCGTCGCTCTCCCAATCGCATAACCCCTTCTGCGCGACGCCGGGGGGTACGCGGCCGAGTAGGTCTGCGGTGATAGCGGAGTGGCGGGGGTGGGTGGGTGTGTAGGGGCCGTAGATTGGGGAGGAGCGTATGGAGAGGGGGGGGAGGTGCGGGGAGGGCCGGATGGTGAGGGTTAGGTTTTCCTGGTAGGGGCCTGGTGATTGAGACTCTGGCGCGGGCTGGGTGAGGGGGATGGTGAGGGGGGAGGCGGCGAGGAGGGCGCGGGAGGCGGTTGGGGGCAGGATGGCGTGAAAGGCTGAGGTGGTGGGGGTTGTGGGGTGGTGCTGGAGTGTGTTAGTTTTGTCATGTGGCGTCTGCGCGCTTCATCTCATCAAACTGAAAACAGAAATCCATCCTGGCCATCCATCCCCAATCTGGCCCACCCCAATTACAACACGTGCCACAATCCAATCAACAACGGGAAGAAAAAAAATATCCGACACGCACCCCAAAAGAGACCCAAACCACCCAGCCAAATAAAATAAAATAAAAGTAACATACCTTCAAGCTCCGAAAATGCTCTACCTCCCCAAATGACTCAAGCGCAACCAGCACCCTCTGTCGCGCCGCCATCGTCACTGGCGTAGGATGCGCGCGAATGTGCAACACGCGCTCTGCCGCTGTGTGGGCTGCTGCATTTGCCGCTGCGGCTGCGGCGCGTGACATCGTTATTTGGCGTGACGTGGATATTATGTATAAAGTGTGAAGTGGATAAGAGCACGTATCTAGGATATGGAGTGGATGGAGGTGGTATTCATTGTTGGGTTGTTGGATTTATATACAGAGAGTGGAGAGATGGGGGCTGTTTAGCGCGGTTAGCGGCAAAGTTGTAGATTTGCTGGGGTCGCGGCCAAGGTTGCCGCGGGCGGCGTCGACGACCACAGCACGATGGGTGGTTTATGATAATACAAGGGGCAAGATCCGTGGTTTATTTTTTGGTGTTCTAATTACGTTTTATTTATTTATACTATTATATTTATATTTATATTTCTATTCAATGGCCTATCCTTCACTTCGCTCGGGTATCCAAAATACCCTAGCTGATCGCTCCATGTATCTGGCCGTTTCAATATTGTAATCGTACAATAAATATCTAATATAAAAATGTGACATCCCTCCTCCGCCACACCGCAGCTAGTGGCGCTTGTGTATATATGCAAACCCGCCCATCGTCTATGCCATCGTTATCATGTACACATCCAAACCACCTCCTTTATATAACCCCAATCCAACCTATCGCATACACACCCCGCCTACTTCCTTTCCCTCTTCCTTTCCCTCTAACCCCCCTTCACTTTCCCCACCTCCCCCTCTATCGACCCCATCCCCACCGTCCCCTTCTTAACCGCCCCCCACGCCCACGTCTCCAACGCCCCCTGCGCAAACGTCTGCGTAAACGGCACCTGCACTATCTGCGTCACCCCGGCCGCAACCTGCAGCTTCGGCACCGTTAACACGACGGGGTATTGCGTTGGGGCTGGGGGCACGGGGCCGCCTGCAGCGACGGCTTGGGAGGAGACAGGGGTAGGGGGGAGGAGGATGGAGAAGAGGAGGGCGAGGAAGAGGGCGAGGGGTGAGGAGTGATGCATGTTTATTTCGAGTGTGGTGCGTGGTAGGCGGAGGAGACCCAGCAGATTGCGCGTGCGGGGTGTTTTGTAGAGTAGAGCGCGGTGCGTTTGGTCGCGCTGCTCTCTCTGCTGCCGCTGCGCTCTGCGCTGCGAGTAGAGTAGATGGCGTGGCGTGGATCTGTGCTCGAGGAGCTAGATATGCCCCTTGGGCGACCCCTTATCTGTGGCTGGCGCTGTAGTAGTCGCTGGGGCCCGACGTTTTATGGAAGGATTCGTCGGCAACGTTGTCTTCGTTTACCAAGCAACCGTGCGATGCGCAATTGTTTTGCGATATGGATGGGATGGGTGAAGCGGGTTGAGTGGCTTTTTCTTGGTGTGTCGTGGAGGGAGGGGGCGAGGGAAGGATTTTTCGTGGGAGGGCGATGGTGTTGCGATGACGCGCGGGCGGCACTATAAGGGTTTGGTGTGGAGCGTTAGCGTGGGGGGCGGGGCGGGCTGCGAACGTTTTGAACGTTATATTTTTAGAACTTGGAAAAGCCAAGTATAGCAAGGGAGTGAAGTTGCAAGACCGATGGCAAGTATTGAAGGAGGGCCGCCAAACAAACTACCAGCAGAAACGCAAAAACCCAAATGCACGGCTTGGCTACGCAACCGGAGCTGGGCGAGGGTGCGCCGTCGGGGATAGGAGGAAGGGCTAAGGGCTGTGTGGATAACCAGCCTCACCCTGAATTGAATTGAATTATTTATTTTTATCACTGGGAAATCACGTGCACCCCCACGCACCCAGGGATGTCACGTGCACCACCACACACCCAGGGATATCACGTGCGCGATCGACCCCAACCAGCGGGAATAGAGGAGGTGCTCGGAGATGGAGCGGGACCCGAGGAATTGGTTGAGACGCAAGGAAGCGGGCGTTATTTAGGGAGTACGTCAGCCGTCTCGGTACGCCCGTTTGCGAGTTGTTTGGTGCAGCTGTGTCTCTGAAGGAAGGGCAACTTCGTTTACGGCAGCGTGTGACCGAGCCGTGTCTGACGATCGTGTGTACCTAGTGGTACTTTGTGTGTGGCTGTCGGATGCATGGGGCAAGAAGTACAGGGTACGGAGATCTGCGTGGAGGGTGAGGGAACAAGGGTATGGATGCGCATTGCCAAGGCTGGCGAAGGATGCAGATGATTGGCTGTAATGGCTGTAATGGCTGTAATGGCTATTCTTATCGAAGTACGCGAGTGGGGCCAAGACGCTAGGGCTGGATGGGGTCAGTGGCCCGAGTTGGTGGGAGAGATGGAGGGACGGGGGGACGGGGGGACGGGGGACGGGGGGACGATGAGGTCAGTCGACCGAGTGGGTGGGAGGCGGCGGGGTTGGGAATTAGCGGGGGAAGCGAGGGAGTGGATTGGTGAGGAGATTCCCAATCACACACGCAGCGTAGGCTGGGTACTGCAGGGTACTGCAGGGTACTACAGCGTACTGTAGGGTACTGTAGGGTACTTGTGTACGGATTGCTGGGTCGGGCTGGGACTTTGGGCTTTGGGACAGCGGGTGGGAGTTGGAGTTGGAGTGGGAGTGGGAGTGGGAGTGGGAGTGGGAGTGGGAGTGGGAGGAGTGGGAGTGGGAGTGGGGGTGGGAGTGGGAGGAGTGGGGGTGGGAAGGGGGGAGTGGGAGTAGCAGATGGGAGTGGGTGGGAGGAGTGGGAGTGGGAGTGGGAGTGGGAGTGGGAGGAGTGGGACTGGGACTGGGACTGGTGGGACTGGGACTGACTGGGACTGGGACTGGGACTGGGACTGGCAGGTGGCAGGTGGTCAGAGTGCTAGTGCTAGTGCTAGTGTACATGGTACTTGGGTAATGCTCCCCCTGCACTGAAAAACAGGTAGCTGGTATCTGACACCAGTACAGCATTGTCTTCCCTGTCTTCCCTGTCTTCCCTGTCTTCCCTGTCTTCTCTCTACCCTGTTTTCCCTGTCTTATCTCTACCCTGTTTTCCCTGTTTGCCCTCTCTTCCCTTTCTTCCCTCTCTTCCCTCTCTTCCCTCTCTTCCCTCTCTTCCCTCTCTTCCCTCTCTTCCCTCTCTTCCCTCTCTTCCCTCTCTTCCCTCTCTTCCCTCTCTTCCTCCCTCTCTTCCCTCTCTTCCCTCTCTTCCCTCTCTTCCCTCTCTTCCTTGAGGGATGTCTACCCTCTACCCTCTACCCTCTTCCCTGTCCATCCTGTCTACCCTGCCCTGCCACTCACCTACTCTACCTTCAAACCCTCCCAGCCCTCCTTCCTCTCCAAAAAGATTCTTCCACCTATTCACCACTCTTCAACCAACCTCTTCATCCTACCTACTACCACAAACTCCCGACAATCCACCCAACCAGACCGGCAAATATCATTCATCACCCATCCCACCGACCAAGAACCCATCCACCCAAAGCCAACCGGAACCCGACAGACCCAACGACGGGAGTCCTGCCATTCACCACGACACATACTACAGGACACAGCCTTGGATGGCCGTATCCACCATTACACAGCGCCGGGCGAGTACTCTTGCATTTACCACACCCTCACCACCGCTGATTCTCGAGTCAATGCCCTCGCCGTAACACGCCGCCTACGGCAAACGAGTCCGAATAAACCGCTAGCATGCGGCCTCCCGCCGCAGCAGGGAGGCATCCGTCGCCGCTACGCCGGCGTGAGAAGTCGCCGGTGAAGCAAGCTGGAGAGAGTGCATATCCGTATGAGCACCCCTCGTCGAGAGCGAGGCCGTCATGGAGGACAGAGCCAGAAGAGGACGATGGGTTCGACGAGGACGAGGAGGAGGATCTTTACGGGCTAGAACCTTCATGTACGGAGAGGTCGTCGGGGCAGGCTTCATATACGCAGAGGTCGTCGGGGCAGGCTTCATATACGCAGAGGTCGTCGAGGCAGGAGCCGCTAGACAGGCGAAGTATAGAGCCGGACGGTATACATCTCGAGGACGACCTAGGTGAAGACATCGACCTCGACACGGTCTCGCGGTTGGCATACGCCTTCAGTCGACGGTCCGGGACGCAGCGTGACCCCTCGATGACGTCGCTCCGCGATATCGGGCGGAGGGGGCGGACTGCGTGTTCGGTTCTTGTTCAGAGCAAGGGGAAGGGGAAGTACGCGGGGATTGCACAGGTGGCGCCGCTGGAGTCGATATCGGAGTCGGTAGCGACGTCGATGCCAAGGTCGAGACCTGTCGCTTTCGACTACCGGGCACGACGGGCGGACTCACCTCCGCCGATACCTGCGCCCATGGGGGATGCGATCGAGGCCGACCACCCGTTCTCAGACACGTACTCGGCTTTCTACCTCACGCCCCTGCCGTCTCTAACCACAACATCTTACTCCGCCCCCCTCCCCGCCGCGAAACGGTATACAAACCACTATATAAACCGAGCCACCATCGTCCTACCACACACAACGGCGATAATAATCGCTGAATCCGCCAACACCTCTCCAACCACCACCACCGGCACTACTACCACAACTACCACCACCAACCTCGCCACAACTTTGATATCCACATCAACCACCACAGCTACCACCGCCGCCGCCCAAACACACATAACAACCATCCTTCCCCCCGCCGCCCTCACCCCCGACCCTCCCCCCCTCGAAGAAGAAGACGAAGGATTCTCCGAACCCACCGTGGTCGAGCGGCTCGCAGCGCTAGAACGGGAACGGGAGCAAGCTTTTCTCGCGGGTCTATCGCGCACGTGCGGGCGCGTTGCTGTGCGGAGAGGGGTGGGCGATCTAGGGATGGATGGGGGAGGAGGAGGGAGGGAGGCGGCGTGGGTGGTGAGACCGAGGGTTCGGAAGAGGATTAGTAAGAGGAAGGGGGGGGGGAGGGATCCTTGAGGGGGGTGGGGGGGGTGGGGGGGTTGTGACTGGGATCACTTACTACCATCGTTGAATGACCGACAGCGGTATATTTGGCGAAACTGCTACGTCCTAGACGGACCTACCAATCTCACCCCAAGAAGACCGGGTTGAGGTTCTTCCATCCCTTTTTCATTTCAACAAGCATTAGCAAAGCGTGGAGCGTTCTTTTTTACTTTCAGCAAATGACCAAATGGACGACATGATGGACGGACGGTGGAGCGTAGAGAAAGGGAAAGGGGTGGCCTGCGTGTTACCAGGTAGGTGCATTGGCGTGTGTGTGGCGTTCTCGGATATTTTTTTGGGGAGAAAGAGGGATTTGGCGATGTTATTTTGGATACCCAACCTATGACTTTATTCATTTATTAGTTTTTACGCCAATTTTTCTCGGTTTTGGGAAGGGGGATGGATGGGTTGGACGGCCTGTATGGATGCAGATGCGCTGAGCCAAGATGGCGGGGGAGGGAAATGGCGAGGTGGGAAGGGGGAGATGTATTATCCACCGATTCGCGTGTGTATACGCGAGAATCCGGGGGGAAGGGGGGTATACAGATACATATACAGATACAGAGATGGAAATGGGTCCACGAGGGACGGATATGGATAAAAATAGGAAACCCATACACTCACTCCCAACCAACCTACCCAGCCTCAATCCCGATTCGACGCGTGAAACCGTCGTGCGTGTCGTGTTTTCTGTGAGAAATTGAGTGTGTGTGTATGACGGGCAGAAAGTATAGCATAAGTTCAAAGTTTGCTCTCGAGAGGAGGTAGATATTCCCCCTTTTCCCCTGCAAAAAAGCTAGGCAATGGCTTTTGCGGCAGTTACCAGCAACGACGAGCATCCTATCTCATCGCAAAGCTATGTAAAGTATGCATCGTGAAACATCGCGAAGAGTCACAACAGAGCGACACGAAGAAGCACAGAGCAACCCCCCCCTAATCCGAACCGTACGTATCCTCATACGCCTCCTCGACCTCCTCCCTATCACTACTACTAACCGAGCTCCCATCCGCCGTCTCATGAGGCAGTTCTCCCTGCATCGGTGCGCGATGTTCGTCATCATCATCATCTGCAGCAAGACAACCCATTTCCGCCACCACCAAAAGCTGGAAAAGGCAGGGTAGACGTACCGAGAGCGTTCATGAGTAGCGCACCGCCGATTGCGCCAGCGGCCAGGCCACCAGCGGCCCCCATCATCATCTTCTTCTTATCGTCCTTTTTCTTGTCTTTGTCCTTATACTCGCCCTGCTCCGCATAACCACTTTGATCATATCCGCCCTGCCCGGCATACCCAGGCTGTCCTCCATACCCTCCCTGCCCACCATATCCGGCATCATAACCGCCGCCGTGGCTGTTGTCGAATCTGCGAGCACCTTCATCGCCATGTCCACCATACGAAGGGGGGGATGTAGGAACCGTCCACACGACTTTGCTACTCGACAGCTCTAGGTAGACCCACTGCGACCCAGCGGGGTCCCAGAGCGCGGACTAGCCCTGGGGGAGGGAGGGAGTGGTCGGGATGGGCGCGCTTTGGGGGTGGGGTGGTGCGCTGTATTGGCCTGGGGGAAGGGCGTCGTATTGGTGATCTTGAGGAGCTCCGTATTGGGCTTGGGGAGCTCCGTATTGGGGTTGAGGTGGTGCGTATCCGTTATTGTCCACAGCTGAAAGATACGCGGAGGGTTAGTGATAGGCATTTGTTAAAGAGTTGCATGTCGCACGCTGCGTTGTATTATAGGGGTGGGTGTAAAGGTTGTGAAGGGTAAGAGGGGTAAGAGGGGTAAAATAATCAACTTACCTCGCTGTTGATCGCCCTGAGGTTCATCCTTGGGCGTCTTTTCATTGCCCATAAGGTTTTCGAAGTCCTTGGTTATCTTTTAAAGAATTACATGGCTGATCTATTGTTTCTGCTGTCTTGTATTGTGGTTATGTGACGAGATGTTGATGTTGTAAATGTTAAAGAGACGAAGGTGGGGGGTTATGGCAACTGGCAACCAACTTAGCAGGATACGCATCATAACAACTGTACTATGCGCTTCTATGCATGGCATTTGCGGTATTTGCGGTGTTTTATTCTCGCAAACAGCGACACCTTAAACTGAAGTAGTTTAAAATCATAGAGTGCTTCCCATTCCCCAATGTTGCGAGTGAGTAATGTTAATACAGTACACCACCCTATTCCGAACCCCATCACTCCCCACACTCCCAGAATAAAGCAGAATTCTCTCATACCTAACCAAAAAAACGCCCCCGTCGATCCAAAGGGTTCTACTATCCGATCACTCTCATCCTCTGGGACAGCTACCCCTTTAACGCCCTTTAACGGCGTAAACAGCCTCGAGCTTTTGCACTGTCTATCAACCTCATGCGCTTCCCAAGACTAGGCAGACCCAGCTGTGAGATTGGTGGCTGGTTATCTGAATGTACAAAATTCTTGGTATTTCGACATTTTGTCACGGGAGGTTCGGGGATCACCAAATTAAAGGGGTCGTCTGCGTACTGGCGGGGGATACTGGGCGAAGGGAACACGGAAGCAGCACGGCTTTGCGGTGAGTTGGCTCTGGTTACGATGCCAGTTTCGGGCTGCATTTGACTGCGGCTCAAGCATCAGCCATCGTATTCATGAAACCCACACGCAAACCCCACCCAAACTCGCCGAAAACACCCCCGAATGAGGCTCAATAAACCCAAACAAGGACGCTCCTGATTGTTATCAATGGCCTGAACCATTGCTGAAGTTACTAACCCCAGGCATCCCGGCCTTCAAGTGAAATAAACCCCCAGAATCCCCGTACACCACACTCCCATCAACGCAACCAGACCACCTCAAATTGACATAGCATACCTGTTGTCAGGGCCAAAAACAATATATACGCAGAGGAGCAAATAAATGAACGCAACACTAAACCCAGCCGCCAGAGTAACCAGCCTCTCATCCGCTGGAGAAATATCTCCCGCACCCCTATGTTGGCGAGATCCCGCCGTTACATAGACGCGCTGCGTATCGTTGCTACCATCCGACCCTTCATCATCATCACGAACTCGCGCTGGGGTTGTGATATGAGGCGGCCACTCAAATATCTGGCCCGAGTTCTCCCTCTCGCCGTGCAAGAACTGCATATGGTGAGCTTCTTCGTAGCTGATGCGGTGGCGCCGTACGATGGCCCTGTTTGGTTTGCGACGAGGCGTGATGTATTCTATTTCCGACTCCATCTCGTCATCTGCTTCATGGGCGCCATCCATGCTTGTATGGACCCTGAGAGCTCTTGTACTATATTGAGAAGTAGGGAGTCCACCAGAACCCTGGGAATCGTCACGACGTGGTACTCTCATAATGAGAGAACTTCGACGAGGCTGGATAGGTGGGACGTTATGCTCCTTGACAAATCTTAATATTCTCTCCTTGCTCAGCTCTCGGTCCCTTGATCGGGGTACGACTGTAGCTCTCTTACGCATGTTCGCAGCGAAGGTTGTTTTGTACGGCGACTTGCGGAGGGGCTTGACTCCAGAAGGTGTGTAACAATCTGCATTGATAGGCTTCTTGCGGACCCCGATGGAGGCCTCGGATCCTGCATCCCGAGGCGAGGTCAATGCGACTTTATCGTTCAGGAGATAACTAACGATGCTCCGCTCTGGCTCTGGAGACTCCAACGTCGTCACCACTCCTGTGGGGAATGGCGCAGTACTCGTGACTGGCAATGCACCGGGCATTCTCCTGGACATATTGTCGACATTGCTGCTGCGTAAATTAGACGCCAGAGGTAGAGGATATTTTCGCATTGCACCGTTTTTATCACTACCATAGGAGACTTTTTCGAAACGGGATCTGAGGTCACTTGTCTTAATAGCACCATAACCCTCTGAGCCACCTGGCTGGATATAACGTGAAGTATGTCGAATTGGGGATCGCCTTGCATGGGCTTCCACTCTCCCAGTTATCTGCTGTTGCGGCACAACTTCTGCAACATCTGCATAATGAACTTTATGAGCAGGGTAGAGAGCTTCATCAAGACGCTTTTCAAGATTTTCAATCATCATAATAAGCCTCTCCGTATCCTCTGAGGCTCTCTTTCGAATAGAACCACTGTGACTTGCATGCTTATCATATGGTATAAATCCAGACATGGCAACTTCTCTATTGAGCTTTACATCGCTCTTTCGCTTGGAAAATAGAGTTGTAGACTTATCTGTGCCCTTTTTGTGAAACGATAATATCCCTTCGAACCAATTTTTTGGACCTCGCGTCTTTTTTTCGGAGATGGCAGACATTTGCTCATCAGTCGCGGTTGAGTTTGTTTCATATTCTTCTGAAGTTGCTTCTTTCAAAGCCAATAATTCCTCGGCAGAAACAGTGTTCTTTGAAGAAGTATTTGAACGGCCAGTTCTGAATCTGCGTGAAAATCTTTGCAGCTGCGATGATTTAGATGGCACCTTTCTCTGCCTAGCCCTCTGCTGGGAACCTATTTTCGTGTAATCTATTGCACCAGCTCTCCGAGGAGAGCGACGAGCGAAAATATTAGTATACTGCGAAGTTGGCTGTTTGATATTGGCTGGTTCCAAGGGAGATTTGGGTTCTGGAGGTTGTGTTAATTGAGCTGTTCCTTTCTGATCTGCATCTTTCACGTATTGATTTGAAGGTATAGCGTCAAATGTACCGTTTGAATCCTCTTGGTGGTATCCTAATCTCTCATATCTGTGAGTATCGTCCTCACCACGAATAAAAGCTGCGCGAATATCAGACATCAAAGAATGTGATTCCGGTTGACTATATATCGATGACGATGCGGATTTCGCAAGTAGTCTTCTCTTATATGGTGGCCACCCTCGTTTTGACATATTTGGCTGTTCTAAAGTACCCGCTTTAGTAGCCACGGCCTCTGATGAAGAAATTGCCTGAGATTTGTCTGCGTGTTGTTTTCGACTCCCACGCACTTCGGGCTCACGCCCTATTGATTTGATGGCTGTAGAACTTTGGAGATCCGAAGATGCCACCGATGGCTCAAGTGGACGTGGGCTTCCACGCAAGTATTCGCTCCCCTTTCTCGCAGATTCTACAAAAGAGCTCGCTGTAATCTTTTGATAGCCCCTTTCCACCGGTTTCTCTTCCCTGGGCGTTGTCGATATTGGCTCATCAGAAGCATCCTCATAAATAGATTCCAATGTCGACGGCTCGACAGGTGTTTCAGTATTATAGCTGTGCATAGAAGCGATGCCATCATAACTTGCTCCAACAGGATGTAGTTGACGATCTTGTAGATGGTTGGTGTTTAGTTTATCACCTCCTGGATGCGGGGCGACAACATCGCGTCTAAATGCCAACTCGCGATCCGTAGGAGAATTTCGAACATGCGCAACAGCTGGCATCGCAATGTCCCGTGCAGCCCGTGCGATGTGGTCAACCTCTTGGCTTACGCTTATGGGAAGATGGGGCAACACTGCTGGAGCCGGTCGAGCTGGAAGATCCTCTCTATGTATCGGCGGTTTTCTCCGTAGCGTTTGTCGATTTCGATGGGCGGCCTCTTGCGAGAAGTGTGAACTAAACGGGGATGGTTCTGCCGACTTCGACAGTATTGACGGACTTGAAGTTCCCCCAGCTTCTACTTCCGCCACTAGTGCCGAGGATGGCAGAGATACAGAAGATGCCAGCCCCAGTCTTGCAAGCACATTCAAGTTGGTAGGGTTCACCGGTTCGTCATGTGCCGATATCCGTTCAGCTATAGATGGCGGGATGTATCCAAATCTGTGGCTACCGGTCTCACGACGTGTACGGGGCCATGGTCTTTCGTATTGCCTACTGCTAGAGACGGCTTTGACTCCAACCGCGGCGGTCTCACCCCTATCCAGGTTGTCTGGACCCTCAGAGTTTACATCATCGACTGGGTTTGATGCCTCCGGCTGATAAAAGAACTTCTCGTCACTTTGTTGGTCCGGATTGCGCGCCAAAATTACCGATGAGGTTTCCTTTTCAACATTCTTGGGGTCATATAAACTGGACTCCTCTCGTTGGTGGGGATGCCCGGCCAAGCTGGGATTCGGATCCGCCAGCTCTTCGCTTTTGCGCTGGAGGGAGTGGCCTGGGGACTTGTCTGTGATTTCAAATTTTGGACGTTCGAACGTTTGACCATGCTGGCTTAGATCCCCAAGTGGGTGGCTGTTTGCGGCATCATTGACTGAGATATTATCGGAAACAGCCTCAGTCGTTGCTGCATTGTCAATTTTAGCTGGCCTGCGAGGGCTTGATGAATAGAAGCTTTCAACTCCATCGGCTCGTCGATTTCGTCTGCTCGGCAGCCCCCATGAGCCCTGGCCTCTGAGAAGACGTGTTCCCAACGCCTTGCCCTGATAACTCGGAGTATCTGACATCTAAACTTGAGAGGGCTCAGTGTCTCCAGTAATAGCGAAAGGTGGGGTTGTACGGCAGAGTCCTGGACAATTTTCGAACGAACCTGACGTAAACTCTGCCCAAAAATAGGATAGCGAACGCAACAATCAGGACACCTATCATATCATCAGAGTAGGGCCGGTATTTTGCCGGATGGTCGCTCAGGCGCGAGGGGTGAAGGAAATCTGATGGTCTGGCTGTCCGGATTGGAGAAGAGCGTGATCGGACAGTCTGTAAAAATGTTTATAGGAATGATACATCTGCCGTAACAATGGATATAGGATAGATGTACCAACTAGGAAAAGAAATTATAGGAGTAAAAACGAATAGTATATATACGAGTAATGATGCTGTTGACGATGGAAAGGATTGTGAAGATTTGGAGAGAATCCGTGACACCGACAGGAAATTCAGACTTATCTGATATGGATCAAATGAAATAACTTGACCAACATGGTAGGAGCTACCGGCCTCAAAATGAAATAGCATGGCGAAGAATGTAAGGAAGGAGCAAGCAAGCCCTTCGCTCTTTCCTTCCCAAGGTGCTCTCCGTGGGCATACACGATGAAATCGACCCATTTCCAACATAATTGCCTACCATAATTGCCAGCATCTGAAGCACTTTGTGAACTATCAAAAGCCAAGATAAAATCCAGACCGAATGAAGTTTGATAAAATGGTTATGTTATATAAGACTTCTGGAACAATATACTCGCAAGGCTACAAGCAGCGGAACGATGGACCCGTTCCGAGCCGAAGCCCCAATTCTTCTGTCATCCATCATCCTTGTCACTGCGGGGTAGCAGCATCCCCAACTTCAGTCCGACTCAGTTGTTTCCCAACTTCACAATTCTAAATGCGCCAATTAGTAAATCGTGCTTTGAGAACACTTCAATCATACCCATTAACCTCGACCTTCCAACCATCTCACAACCGAGCATATCAAAAAAGCCTATCCACTATGTCCACAGTCCTGAAGCAACCCGTCAAGCTTGCGCTCGTGCAGCTCGCAAGCGGTATGCAAGCCCCCGCTCCTCCCCCCAGTGCAAAATACTAACACCACCTCCACAGGCACCGACAAAGCCGTCAACCTTGCCAACGCGCGCACACAAGTCCTCGCCGCTGCCTCCAAGGGAGCCAAAATCATCGTCCTCCCCGAATGCTTCAACTCGCCCTACGGCACACAGCACTTCCCAAGCTACGCCGAGACGCTGCTCCCCTCCCCGCCCACACCCGAGCAATCCCCCTCCTTTCATGCTCTCGCCGCTATGGCTAAGGAGGCAAACGCCTACCTGATCGGTGGTTCGATCCCCGAAGCTGACGCGGAGAACACGTCTGCCGCTGCTGGTGTCCCTAACAAATACTACAACACCAGTCTTGTCTTCAGCCCGTCAGGTGCCCTGCTCGACACCCACCGCAAGGTGCACCTCTTCGACATCGACATCCCGGGCAAGATCACATTCAAGGAGTCCGAGGTGCTCACAGCGGGGTCTCAGACGACGATTATCGATTTCCCCGAGTACGGGCGCGTAGCGGTGGCCATTTGCTACGACGTGCGGTTCCCCGAGCCAGCCATGATCGCAGCGCGCAGGGGGGCGTTCGCGCTCATCTACCCGGGTGCGTTCAACCTAACGACCGGTGCGCTGCACTGGGAGTTACTCGGCCGGGCTCGGGCGGTGGACAACCAGGTGTTTGTGGGGTTGTGCAGTCCAGCGAGGGATATTAGCGCGGGGTATCATGCGTGGGGGCATAGCATGGTTGTTGATCCGTGGGCGAAAGTGCTGGGGGAGGCCGGGGAGGGGCAGGAGATCGTGGTTGCCGAGTTGAGGCCGGAGCCGCTGGAGGAGGTAAGGCGGAATATACCCGTGTCGACGCAGAGGAGGTGGGATGTATATCCGGATGTTAGCAAGGGGAGTGAGTGAGTGAGTGTAGTGTAGTACCCGGGTAGATGGGATTGCCTAGATGCGCAATTTAATGTACCCTTAGCTGCATCGAGTGTGGAACCGGACATACTTGAGAATCTTGAAACGGAAGTCGCTTGTCCAAACTCGGAGGAGATAGATCCCTGATATTGGATTATATCACAGGCTCAATATGCATCTCCCATCCCATTTCAGTCTCCTGAAACTCTCATGTCAGCAGGGGAAAGCATCAAAGCGAAGACAAGACCTAGCCCCTCCCCAAAAAGAAACCCCATAACCACCGCCGCCTGAGAAGAGAAACAACCAGTCAAACTGACACCCACGGCTAAACCCCTCTGCTGCCAAACCTGTAACCCGAAATGACGACCGAACAAACAGACTATTCAGCACATACAGTGCAGCACAGCCGCCACTCCTCGCCGTCAACTCCTTCACCTCGCCATCAGACCTGGATACATCTACAACTATTTTCTCAAATCGACAAATGCTCACAACTTTTCCCCCTAGACCCTAAGGGCTCTACTTCCAGTCAATTAACGTTGAAGTGTATGATATCACTTGCAGCGGTAGTATAAGTATCAAGTTGAGTTGAACAACAGTTCACTGGAATATGTGTTGTATTGTTGTTTTGAGTGAAGCTATCTACAGAACTATTTGTGGGTGGTCCGCAACCCGATTCGGTTGGCGAGCCACACGCCCAACCAATCAGTCTGAGCAACCTCCTCCTTCAACACACCCCTTTGCATGACTGAATTGAGGCTATTCCCATTTCCTAGGCTGTGATCACCTTCATCTGAAGCTGCTGTATGAACTTCTCATGTTGTGTGGCGGGTAGCGGCTTAGTCAATCCATCTGCTACCATGTCGGCTGTTTCCACATACCAGAGGTCAATTGACCCGTTTTCAATGTGCTCCCGAATGAAGTGGTGCTTGACATCGATATGCTTGGTTCTCTGGTGGAATTTGGGGTTTTCGGCCAAGCTTAATGAGCCTTGGTTGTCTCCATAGATCTTCGTAGCTTGAATGTCATTTCCTGTGTACATCATCTGCTTCATGATCTGTTGTAGCCATAGTGCTTCTGACACTGCCTTTGCGAGTGCGTAGTACTCTGCTTCTGTGGTCGATTGTGCCACAGTCTGTTGTCGCTTTGAAGTGTGTGAAATCACACCTCCGGCAAAGAAGAAGGCATTTCCAAGGACCGATTTACGGTTTGCTTTATCGCTTGCATAGTCTGACTCACAGTATCCATGGAGCTGCGTATCGCCTTGCATGCCATATTCGATTCCAAGCATCTTTGTGCCTTGTAAGTACTGAAGGATTCGATCTGCTGCTTTCATGTGAGCTGGCGAAGGATTGGTGAGGAATCTGGACAGAACAGAGACTCCATATGAGATATCTGGTCGAGTCTGGACAGCGAGGTACATGAGCGATCCAATCTTCAATCATAGAGTTCAATTTCTGCGTGTGAAGCCTTGCCTTCAAATGGGATCATGACTTCTACAGCTCCTGTAGCCACAGGTGTGTCCACTGCCTTGCAATTCTCCATGCCATAGCGGTATAGAATCTTTGTGACGTATGCATCTTGACAGAGGGAAATTGTTCCTGCCTCTCTGTTGCGTGTGATCCTCACCCCTACAAAGTATGCTGCTGGCCCAAGGTCTTCAATTTCGAATTTTTGCATCGGCTCCTTCTTTAGCTTTTGGATTGTTGTGATTTGTTTGCCAATGATGAGCATATCATCCACGTATGTGACAATTAGGATTCCAGTCTCTTGATTGCAATATACGCTATAATCGCTTGCACATGCTGTGAATCTGAGTCCATAAAGTGCCTTTGCAAGCTCTCTTTGCCAAAGTCGAGGCGCTTGTTTCAATCCATAAAGTGCCTTCTGCAGTTGGCACATCCAATTTGGCGCATTTTCCAGTATGCTACCATTGACTTCCCAGTCTGGTGGAACATCCATAAAGATTTCTGTGTCCGTATCAGAATTGAGGAAGGCTCCAACCACATCCGCTTGCTCAATTTCAAGTCTGAAAAATGCTGCAAGTGCAATTGCAAGCTTCCAAGTGGTGGTTTTGCATACTCCTGCGTATGTCTGATCGAAATCTATGCCTTGCTGCCGTCTGAAACCCTTTGCAACCCATCGAGCTTTTCGTTTCGTAATTAATCCATTTTTGTCTCTCTTCGTTTTAAGAACAAGCTTTCCTGGGAGCACCTTTGCATTAGCTGGTAGTTGTGATCGCTGCATAAGCTTCCAAGTGCCCTTGTGTGTAAGGTTTCAATATTCTTTGTGAATTGCAGCTTGCCATTCTGACCAGTCTGCTCGTTGTTTTGCTTCTTCAATTGTATTCGGATCATCATAGATTAATGTCTGAGCCCCTGCTATGAATGCTGCAACGAATGCAGAGCTCGAATTCTGGTTTTGTGACTGTTGAGTGAGCTTCATAGCTTGCAGTGGTGGCTGTTGTGGTTGATGCGGAAGCTGTGGTCGCTCGCGGGTTTGGTTGCGGGTGACTCTGTTAAACTCAGGTTTTGGAGTGTATACATTTTGAGTTCTCCTCACTGTAACAGTCAGTAACAGCTCTGTATCTTCATCATCAACTTCTTGGTCTGATTCATCAAGCTCTGGTTCAGGTATGATTGAGTTTTCGTTATCAGTTTCAATTTCTGAATGATGCTCTTCATCCTGGGTTTTGGAGACTCGCTGAATTAGCTGTTTATCATAATTCGTCTCACCCCTGGCTCTATAAGGCAGTGTGATAGATGCATCTTCATTATCATTTTCAATTTCGTCCTAGACTCTGTTGAACTGTGTATTAACCATTTTCTGGAATTTGAGGAGTGCATTGTATGCACCGCTTTTCGAGTTGTGGAAGTAAGCCCAACGGACTGTGGTTGCCTTTTCTGTAAAAATGGTTGCATACTTCTTCCTTCCAATTCCTTCTGGCTCATGACTGTTACGATTATAGCTTACGGTTGTTACGGTTGTTACAGTTGTTACGGTTGTTACGGGTGCAGCCTTAGCCACCAAGGCTACAACCGCTAAGCGGACAACTGTATATTACGAGGAATAGCCTCACCTTCCTTCCTTCCTTCTTCTTCTTCTTCTCTCTTTAGATTCAATCTAGCTTATTATTCTCCGGACTGGCTTCTTGACCTCCGTGACCATCGTAACATAAGATTGAATCTCACCTTTCTTTTGCTCTCTGAGCCTGAACCTTGATACTGAAATTTGAATTCCCTTCTTTGGAAACCCTACAACCATATCCTAAAGTCGATTCCAGAACACCACAGAACACACCAGAAACACCAGAACACCACAGACGTCACAGATCAGACCTTTCACAATGCTCCCTCGACAAGGAATATAGCTGTGAGGGAAGTGCGCTCCTCTCGAGTGGCTCCTACAGTCGACAAACTGCGCAATAGGGCCTTTGGCGATACGAGTCTGATCTACTGAATACAAAAACCGAAAGAATAGCAAAGCTGCTATGGCACACACAGCCAAAGAAAAAGCCAAGATGGCTGACTGAAACCCAGAAGACTATGAGTCTATAAATGAGAAAACAACCTTGGCAGATGAGTCTGAGAAGAGAGATGAACTTCAAGATGACTTCCTCGAAGCCCAAGAAGATTTCAAGAGGATGGGCAAAACAGCTCAAGAAAGACACCAGTCTATACTATCAAACGGCCACCAGATGAGGAATTGGAATGTCAACACCTACACTGAATTCCAAAAGCTGTCACCTAGCAGCCAAGAGTATGCCTGGTCAATGTTGAAAGCCATTATGAAGGACTACCTCATCGTCGGTCAAGCTTCTGATGCTACTATTGCAGAGCGAAATGATGCTATTCTACAGCTCCAAGAAGAAATTCAAGACAAGGATGAAAAGATTACTGAACTGCAAGGCATTCAAAAATATCTTGAGAATACAGCTCCTATTCGCAATGCAGCACCTCGCCAGTCTGCTCGCATTCCGGATCCTCCTATTCTTATGGATGGGATTGAACCAGCTTTTGAAGACTGGGTTGTGAAGATCTGACTCAAGCTGGAAGCCAACATTGACCACTTCCCAAATGACAAGATGCAGATGAGTTATCTCCAAAGCAGACTAGGAGGACTCGCAGTTCGCCATGTGAACCCAAGGCTTCGCATTACCTCACCAAACATTCTTCAGTCAGCAGAAGAAATCCTCCAACTCCTCGAGAAAGCGTTTAGCGACCCTGATAGGAGACGCACTGCACAAACTGAGTATCACAAGTTATACCAAGGCAAGAATACCTTCACAACATTCTGGGCTGAATTCCAGAGACTCACTGCAGAGCTGGACTACTCAGAAGAGACCTTGCTTGACGATCTCCAATTTAAAATCAACCAAGGCATGCAGAAAGCCCTTGTTGCAGAAGTGGGAGCTACCACTATACATGAATTCGCGAAGAAATGCATGCTTGTGGACCAAAACCTACAGAGAATTCAAGAAAAGGAGAAGAGAATGAAGCCACAGCCATTCGCCTACCAGAAGCAGAGTGGCCAGAGCCCTACTGCTAGTACTGCTGTTGAAATAGTGGCACCACAGAAGAAGCTCTACCGCTCTCCCCACCAAGATCCTGAGAAAGAATCGCCCATGAAGCTTGGCAAATGCTTCCATTGCCATGAAAGCGGCCATCGTGCTCATGACTGCCCTCAGAAACAGAAAGGCAGACTCAATGAGATCTCTGATAGTGAGGATCCTACCCAGTATGAGTCGGGAAAAGAATAGCCTCTAGAAAAGACGTTGCTAGAGGTTCTACAGCAAGAATTGCCTCCTCTGCCTCATCATTATCCCATTTCGACTATGACACTCCATTCTTAGCTACCTGCAGAATAGGAAGGAATCAAATTGTCATGCAAGCCTTAATGGATAGCGGTGCAACAGGTGGAAGCTTTGTGAATGCTGTTGATGCAAAACGAATTTGTGAAATTGAGAACATCTCTCCTATCCAACTTATAAAACCAAAGAACATTGAAGGATTTAATGGAGTTGCAGCACCTACAGTTACGCATGCTATATACCCTCGACTACAAATTGGAGATCACGTTGAAAGTCTATGCCCTCTATTCATTACTACTCTTGGGAAACATTCTATCATTCTTGGGAAAGCTTGGATGAAGCAGCATGGAGTCACACTCAATATGGTAAACGACCACGTCATCTTTACAAAGGGTCACTGCCAGCACACTACACCAACAGACACTTTAAAAGTGAAAACTACAAGTCCCCAAGCTGAGAAGGAAATACAAGATAAAGAAGCTCTGAAGCCAGCCCTCCAACCTCATTATAAGAACAAGACAAATGCACTGTTACAATGATTGGAGCTGCACCATTCAATATGCTTCGGAAGCAGAAAGGAGCTAAGGTTTTTGCAGTATCATTTAAAGATATACTCACTGAACAAGCAAAGGAGGAAACGAAAGAAATCGACCCAAAACTGATCCTCCCAAAGGAGTTCCATAAGTATCTGTTCTCAAAACAGGCTGCAGACAAGCTCCCGCCTCACAGATATGCAGACCATCACATTGTGTTAGAAGGGAACTCGAAACTAGGGCATGCACCACTCTATAACATGTCCCGAGAAGAGCTTGATCTTGTGAAGAAATACGTGGAGGACAATCTTACCAAAGGATTCATCGAAGCTAGCAACGCACCATTTGCCTCACCTGTGTTATTTGTACGCAAACCAGGAGGTGGACTTCGATTTTGCATAGACTATCGCAAACTAAATGCGATCACAAGGAAAGACTCATACCCACTTCCACTCATTGATGAAACATTGGCTCAAATCACGGGTGCCAAATATCTTACAAAGATTGATATTAGACATGCCTTTAATCGAATTCGCATGCAGACAGAGGAGGACGAAGATCTGACAACATTCAAAACTCGATTTGGATCATACAAATACAAAGTTCTCCCATTTGGACTTACGAATGGCCCCAGCAACATTCCAACGATATATGAATGAAACATTAATGGAATACATAAACAAATTCGTCACTGCATACATGGACGATTTTCTTGTCTATAGCACAAGTAAGGAGGAACATGTTAAGCATGTCAAAATGGTTCTACAAAAGCTTTGAGAAGCAGGACTACAAGCAGATATAGCAAAATGCGAATTCTTCATTCAAGAGACAAAATTCTAAGGACTCATCATTGGAGTTAATGGAATTCGCATGGATCCTGGAAAGGTGAACACTATACTCGATTGGAAAGCACCAAAATTATTACGGGACACGCAAGCTTTTATCAGATTCTGTGTGTTCTATCGAAGGTTTATCAAGAACTATTCAAACATCATGAAACCACTCGTCAACTTAACGAAAAAAGACCATGTCTTTGAATGGACAGAAGCATATCAGGAAGCATTCACACTTCTGAAAAAGACTGTCACAGAAGCCCCAGTCTTACGACATTTCGATAGAGAGAAGACAGCCTATGTTGAAGCTGATGCCTCAGATTTTATTTCCTCAGGGGTACTGTCACAGAAAGATGACAAGGGAATCCTACATCCAGTTGCATTCTTCTCGAAAAAGATGGCACCTGCAGAATACAATTACGAAATCTATGACAAGGAGTTACTCGCCATCATCAGATGCTTCGAAGCATGGAGACCAGAAGTCGAGGGCACAGCAATGCCAGTCCAAGTTTTGTCAGATCACAAGAGTCTTGAATACTTCATGACAACAAAGAAGCTTACTTGAAGGCAAGCTCGATGGGCTGAGTTTCTGTCAAGGTTAAACTTTCAAATTATATATTGACCTGGGAAACAGAACGGAAAAGCAGATGCATTAACTCGAAGACCAGGAGATAGACCAGAAGGGAACAAAGAAGATGACCACCAAAAACAACAACTTCAAACCCTGCTACCACTCAAGAGACTCCATCCAGACCTCCAAGAGATAAGGAAATTTGAAGATGCTAAGGTGAATCAAGACATCCAACTCGCGCCAGTCCACCTACAGGAAGCAAGTATTCTAGACAAAATCCAAACTGCGCAACTTCAAGACAGCTTATGCAAAGACACTATTCAGAAGCTTCAGAATGGAGAACGAAACAGTCCAGACATAGCTCTAGCATATTGCGAGGTGAAGGAAGGGCTCTTATATTATAATAGAGTCTGGGTTCCAGAAAGTGCTCATGTCGAACTCTTACAAGAAATTCATGACCAACCAGCAATGGGATACCCTGGCATTGGGAAGATGATTCGGGTCATCAAAAGACAGTATTACTGGCCCCGGATGGATAAGACAATTATACAATACATCAAGAACTGCCATATCTGCAAAAGAAAACCTACAAGAGATACTTATAATGGACTTCTTCAACCAATCCCTGTTGGCAGCCAGCCGTGGCAGGACATATCACTCGACTTTATTACAGGATTGCCATTGTGTGAAGGAAACAATGCTATCCTTGTCGTAGCATGCCGACTTACAAAAGAACGACATTTTATCCCATGCTTTGCAGGCCAAGAAGGCACAACTGCAGAAGCAACAGCACAGCTACTCCTTCGACATGTATGGAAACACCATGGTTTACCAAATTCGATCATCTCAGACAGAGGCCCCCAGTTCGTGGCTGCAGTGTGGAAAATCCTCTGCAAAGTTTGGAAAGTTATAACAAAATTGTCTACTGCCTTCCACCCAGAAACGGATGGGCAAACTGAGAGGTTCAATGCAGAACTTGAACGATATTTACGAGCTCATGTTAACTATCTCCAAGACGACTGGGTCGAATATCTTTGCATGGCAGAATTTGCAGCAAATGCTCTACCTTCTGACTCTACAAAAATCAGTCCATTCTTTGCAAATAAGGGCTTCGAGCCAAGAATGAGTTTTGATATTAAGAACAGCGAGTTCCAAATAGCGCCACAGGAACACAAGGATATGATACAAAGCATGAAAGATATTTGGGAGTTTCTGCAAGACCAAATCACACTCTCACAAACTCGCATGGAGACATTCGCAAATCAACGCAGGAAAGCTGCACCAAGATATCAGGTTGGAGATCAAGTATGGCTATCTACACGAAATATCAGGACTCAGAGGCCATTGAAGAAACTCGATCAGAAGCAAGTTGGTCTGTATAAGATTCTCGAACAAATTGGGCAAGTGGCATATCGATTAGAACTACCACCAAGCATGAAGATACATCCTGTCTTTCACAGCAACCTCTTCTGACTTGACTCAGATGATGCTTTACAAGGCTTGCACCATGAACCACCCCTGCCAATCATTATAGAAGATGAACTTGAATGGGAAGTTGAAGAAATCCTAGACTCTAAATTCCTACAGAAGAAGCTGTTCTATATGGCAGCATGGAAGAACCACCCACCAGACAATACTTGGTATCCCGCTACAAACTTCAACAATGCACCTGAACTCACACAAGCTTTCCACTGAAAATACCCACAGAAGCCACAATGATCCTACTCTTGATCAGGAGATCAATCTTAGTAGGGGAGGGGTAGTGTTACGATTATAGCTTACAGTTGTTATGGTTGTTATGGTTGTTATGGTTGTTATGGTTGTTATGGTTGTTATGGTTGTTATGGTTGTTATGGTTGTTATGGTTGTTATGGTTGTTATGGTTGTTATGGTTGTTACAGTTGTTACAGTTGTTACGGTTGTTACAGTTGTTATGGTTGTTACAGTTGTTACGGTTGTTATGGTTGTTACAGTTGTTACAGTTGTTACGGTTGTTACAGTTGTTACGGTTGTTACGGTTGTTACGGTTGTTACAGTTGTTACGGTTGTTACGGTTGTTACGGTTGTTACGGTTGTTACGGTTGTTACGGTTGTTACGGTTGTTACGGTTGTTACGGGTGCAGCCTTAGCCACCAAGGCTACAACCACTAAGCAGACAACTGTATATTACGAGGAATAGCCTCACCTTCCTTCCTTCCTTCTTCTTCTTCTCTCTTTAGATTCAATCTAGCTTATTATTCTCCGGACTGGCTTCTTGACCTCCGTGACCATCGTAACAATGACCACGTCAATGTGCACTTCATCGAACAGTTGCAAGTTCCGAGTTATAGCTTGCTTGCAGATGTGTTTCTTTGCCTTTCCTCTCTCACATGGATCGCACAATTGGAGAGCTTCATCTTCTTGTTCTTGTGGCGTAAGGTCTTCCTCATTAGAGATTGCCATGCCTCTCACCATTTTTGAGGTCTTCTGTACATTCACAAGTCCAAGATGTCCAAATCTACGATGCCAGAGTCGAATTGAGTGTGGAGGATTCTTCTCATCTTTGTGAGTAGTTGCTGGAAATGCATATGTACGCAATGCTTCAATTATCATCATGTTCTTATCAAAGCGGAACATTGGAATACCCTCCTTGTTGAGTACAAGATTCTTATCCATGATCCGTAAATCACCCCTTCCTAAGAGCTTTCGAGCTCCAAAAATGTTCATTCCACAATTTGGCAGATATTGAACTTTGGTAAGGTGTAGGGTGTGAATGTCTCCATCATCTGTTGCGCATTGCAATGTTCTTTCGCCTTGACCAAGTGGCTTGGTGATGCCACTTGCTGTGTCAATGGATGGAAGAGTCAATGAGGTTTCGTATGTGCCACTGTTAAATTCCTCGATTGAGCTGGCGATATGTGTCTCTGCTCCAGTGTCAAATAATGTGCCATTTTGAATTGGCGACCTTGAGTGGTTGAGTTGAACACAAATGTATGTGGTGGCATTCTTGCCAAATTGACGATCTTCATCTTCTTCATCTGATGAGTTGTCATTCTTTGCCTTCTTTAGCTTGTTTGATTTGTTGCTTAATGCATTGAATGGTGTAAACTTCTTTCCTATTTTCTGCTCCCATTCCTGTTGAAGCTTCTTGTTTGTGACGAAGCAGTTTTCAGGTTCGTGCCTTGCATTCAGATTTTTGCAGTTCTTGCACATCTTTCCTCCTTTGCCCTTTATGTCCTTGAATTTTGACTTTGGCTTCCCTTTCTGATTTGGCTTTCCATTGTAATGTGCGCTTCCATCCTCTTTCTTGTCCTTCTTTCGGGCTTAATCTGTAATGTCCTCAATAAGTGCAGAAAGTGTAAGCTTTGTTGCTTCACTGCGTGTATTCGAGCGCTGGCGTTCTGCCATATTGGCCATGCATCTGAGAGTGCCATGATGAAGAGGATTGGGTGCCAGACATCTGGTGGAGGGATCTCGAGGTTGGTAAGTTTCTCAATTGCCTTTTTGAAGCCAATAATGAACTGTTCGAGGTTTGCGTAATCTTCGTACTTGATCTTGGTGTATGTCTCAATTGCATTAAAGTTGAGCACAGCACCAGTGCCTTCATATTGAGACTGTAAGATTACCCACATTTCGCGTGCAGATTTGCAACCTGCAAGCAGCTGTGATGGTGTTTTCTTCACATTAGTTTGGATGATGAGTTTCATCGATGCGTCTCCTGCTTTCCATGCTTTCCATGTGGCGAGTTTCTCAATGTCCACCTTCTCATCGAACTCATCTGCTTGTGGAGGAGCTTTGCCTTTTGGGTGTACGAAACGGACAGGGTCGTTGGCATCCGCGAGGTCCTCCATTGCAGTTTTCCATTGTATGTAATTCTCCTCTCCTTGGAGTTTCATGTTCTCTGGGAGGTTATTCCGACCTCCATTGCCTTCACCCATTGTGAAAGGTCTTGTGTGTTTGTATAAGGAATTTCGAGTTTGTGAGAGTTGGATGATGGATGATGGATTCGATCTGGGGCTTCCTAGATTGTAGAATTGATCTTGTTCTTCCTCTTCTTAGTTGAATCGATCATCTGCCAGAGGCTGCAAGTTCGTCTTGAGGTTTTCATGGAGTGTATGTGCTTTATGTTAGCACTTGTCCATGAATTCAGATTGTATGTGCTGTAATGAGCACTTCTCTGAATATGATAACTTTGGCTTTGCGATAGTCAGGCTCATAACCTGTTGAAGTGTATGATATCACTTGCAGCGGTAGTATAAGTATCAAGTTGAGTTGAACAACAGTTCACTGGAATATGTGTTGTATTGTTGCTTTGAGTGAAGCTATCTACAGATTTGTGGGTGGTCCGCAACCCGGTTCGGTTGGCGAGCCACATGCCCAACCAATCAGTCTGAGCAACCTCCTCCTTCAACGCTAAGGAGTGATGTCATGTAATGAATCATAGAGGGTTGTAGAGATATGCTATGTGGTCATATCAGCCCAGTAACTAAGGAGCGATGACGTGTAATGAATCATAGAGGGTTGTAGCAATCGTTGAGTAGTATTGCTCTTGTTGTTGGTGTGACAAGCCAAAATATGTATAGTGACTTGTAGGTTTGAGGAGGAGATTTCCAAGTTTGCTCTTGAGTTTGATAGCAAACTGAGTGCAACGAATGTCAGTATGACAGTTTGGATGAGGACATATTTACAGACAGGACAGAAGAGAATTTGGATTCAGGGTTGTTTTAAAGTAAGAATAACGTACATGTATAGCGAAAGCGCCAAACAAGCGAAAGCGCCAAAATGATGCGGTGACCAAACCCCCCAACTAAATGTTAAATTCCTCAACAACAAAACATGCCCCATAAAAACGATGAAAGCCAATTAGTGCTAGCTATCCAGGCTATGCAAAGCGACCCAAAGTTACGCCTTCGAGTTGCTGCTAGGATCTATTCTGTGGACCACCGCAAGCTAGGTCGTCGTCTAGAAGGTGTACCTTCACGACGCGATATCCAAGCCAACTCACGGAAATTAACTAACCTAGAGGAGTCCGTCCTTGTTCAGTATATACTCGACCTAGCTGCCAAAGGGTTTCCTCCTCGGCTGTCTGTTGTTGAAGATATGGCAAGTCGACTACTTGCAACACGCGACGCGTCACGCGTTGGGTCGCGTTGGGCTTCAAACTTTGTTAAGCGGCGTGTAGAGCTCCAGACACGCTTTCAGCGCAAATACGACTACCAGAGGGCTAAGTGCGAAGATCCAGAAGTTATTAATGGCTGGTTTGAGCTTGTGCGTAACACAATTGCGAAATATGGTATCGATGAAGCAGATATCTACAACTTTGATGAGACTGGGTTTATGATGGGCGTTATCTCAACTGCTATGGTTGTAACAAGCTCAGACGGGCGGGCAAAAGCAAAGAAGGTACAGCCTGGTAATCGGGAATGGGTTACAGTAATCCAAGGCGTTAGTTCTCAAGGTTGGGCAGTACCACCATTTATCATTGTTGCAGGCAAAAACCACCTTACATCTTGGTATGAGAATAGTGGATTTTCAAGCGATTGGGTGATTTCTGTTACTGAAAATGGCTGGACTACAAACGGGAGAGGCATGGATTGGATTCAGCACTTTGAGAAGCATACAAAGGCCCGGAGTGTTGGTGGTTATCGCTTGTTAGTCCTTGATGGTCATGAGAGCCACCACTCAGATGAGTTTGAGGAGTACTGCAAGGAACACAACATTATTACGCTTTGTATGCCTGCTCACTCTTCTCATCTACTCCAGCCACTTGATGTTGGCTGTTTCGGCCCGTTAAAGCAGGCCTATGGTCGGCAAATTGAAGATATGATGCAGGCTCATATTTCTCATATTACAAAGGATGACTTCTTTCCTGCCTTCCACACTGCATTTAACACTACAATGACGGAAAGTAACATTCGAGGCGGGTTCCGAGGGGCAGGGCTTCTTCCATTTGACCCTGAGAGAGTGATATCTACACTTGATCTTAAGTTAAGGACACCAACGCCTCCAAGCTCCCGCCCAGGTACTGCTCAACCTTGGGTTTCTCAGACACCAAACAACCCAATTGAAGCTATGTCACAGTCTACATTTATTAAAACTCGGATTTCACGCCATCAAAATAGCTCTCCAACCTCAATCTATGCAGCTGTTGACCAGTTTACAAAGGGTGCATCGCAAATAATGCATCAATTAGCACTGCTAAAGGGAGAGAACCAAAACCTACGACAGGCAAATGAAGTACTAAGCAAGCGCCGGAGAGCTAGGAAAACACGACTACAGCAAGGAGGATCACTTAGTCAACAAGGGGCGCAAGAGCTACAGGATGAGAGGGATGTTGTGCAGCGGGTAGAGCAGGAAATAAGGGCAAGCCGTGGTCGGAAGCCAAGGGAAGAAACCCGTGCCCGTCGCTGTGGCAAGTGTGGTGAGACTGGGCACAATGCGCGCACGTGTCAGATTGTAATAGACACCTCTGAGGAAGAGGACTCCGAGTAGTTTCAATTGATTTCTAATGTTGTGGTAGATTTATCGCAATGTTTGTCGTGAGGGTAGATAATTTTGGCGCTTTCGCTTGTTTGGCGCTTTCGCTATACATGTGTACGTTACTAATGATATCTGGCTGGCGGGATGCAATTTCGCTTTCCGGATGCACTTCGCTTTCGCCGACCACCTGTAAGGTGGTCGGTGCGAACACCGACGATTAGATCAATTGAATTACTACACTATCTACGGAGCCTACGTATTATTTATGTTATTCGGAGGGCCTACCCAAACGCCCTAAGTAGCAGGAGGGTTTGGGCCCAAAACCCAGTGCGTCGGGGTTCTGAGGCAACCGGCTCACGCCAAGCACCCATTGGGGAGCCCGATGGTCCCACGGTGCCCGTGCTCTTTTCCCCAACACTTAGGCAACAGGCAACTATAGTAGCCACCAAGGTTACAAGGAACCGCTAAGCGTTCTTCTTCTTCTCTCTTTAGATTCAATCTAGCTTACTTTACCTAGACTAGCATCATGCTCCGTGACCATCGTAACAAACCTCTAAGGCACTACCCTCTACTACAAACCTAACACCATCCTAACTAGCAGGGAAGGCGCTTAGTTAACGGGCCTTACAGCCACGCAAACACGCAAGAACTGCTCTCTAAGGTCATACTCTGTACATAAACCCATAGCTTAGCACGTCCTAGGGCCGCGGGTTACACTAGACGTAAATAAATATCATCATCATCATCACTAGACTGGGATACAACGCAACACAAGACGGCAAAGACAGCGTGTAAGCTCAGGACGATAACATGCACAGCACTTTACATCCGACCGCTCCCCTCCCATCCAGGCCGGCCCTACCTCGCAAACAGCCACAGGTGAACGCCACAACCCCCCATCGCATCCCCCTCCCCCTGTCCCCTGCGCAATAGCCACCAGGGTCCCTCCCCTGACGCCTCACAAGCCCCCGCACGGACACCTCGATCTCTCTAGGCCGATGCAGTCAGTTCGTTACGGGACGAATACGCGCATCTCAATCTCCATATCAGCGAGATTAATCATCGCGCCGACCTAGCCCCATCGTGCCACTCTTCGCACTACACGAAGAAGCCGCAGCGTGATGGGCTGGCTTTGGCGTGAAGGGCCGGCGCGCGCACGGGTATAACCGGTTGTAGTATCGGCGGAGGGGCTGGGGTTGTTTCAATCTCGGGTATGAGGGACAGAAAGAGGAGAGGGAGGGGGAGGGGAAGGGAAAGGCATGTGAGATTGCTGTCTGTGCGTGTGTGCGCTGGGTACGTTTCTAGGATTGCCAGTTCTGAGATGCTATCCAGGGTATATCTCATATGGAGACGTGCGTATCTCATACCCTACTCCCTCCTACTACTCCCTCCTACTACTCCCTCCCACTACTCCCTCACACCACCCGCACCCCCCCAAACCAAGCACATCACCGTTCTCAAAGCAGTGTCCAGCCCACCAGCGTAGCGCGCACCTCCCCCCTCCCCCTCCCCTTCCACCGCGCCCAGACCCCGCCGAACAGACCCTCCCCTCCCCATCTAACTGCAGTAACCCCGTCACTCTCGCAAGGTACGCCCCAAATAAACAACTCATCCGAACATTGACAGTGGTAGAGGGGACGTGCGATACGGTCCGTCGGTCTGTGCACATCTCGTCTACTTCGGTACCGTACTCCAGGATAGGCCCTCGCGGCGCGGCGCGGCGCTAGATTGGAGGTGAGGCGAGGCGTGGGATCGGAGGGAGGGGTGAGATGGGGGGGTTGAGATGTTGACGGGGAGGTTAGGAGGGGGAATGAGTGAGAGGTGGGTGGGTTTTAATGGTGGAGGGGTATAGGGAGTAAATACGCGCGCGGGTTATATACAAAATTTCACAAGGCGCAAGAGGGTGAGAATGTGAGTGGATAATGCGGTCGTGATCTTCGTTATCAATCAATCATTTCCAAGTCTACACACACACCTCCTTACTCTCCCCCTTCTCCTATTCCCCTTTCCATCTTCTCCCCCTCTTTCCCTCGTCTTCAAACCATCCCCTCCCTTCCTCACAGCCCATGCATTTCCATCCCATCAACTCAAATCCAATAAAACCCTTCGTCTCAAACGCACTATACAGACGTACGAACTTTGACGCGCCCATTTATCTTTTTCTCTTCAAGCCCCTCCCCCCAGCAATCTTCCCCCCTTCTCCTCCCGCCCACGTTACTTTTCCCACCACAACCCATCCCAAAAGAAAGAACCATCCATGGGGTATGTCTGTCCACTCAAAAATAAAGTAAACCCGGCCCATTCGCAAAAATAAAAGTTCAAAAGCTCAAGAAAAACTAACAAGAGAGTTTTAAACCACCCACACACAAAAAACAACAAGAAAGGTAGTAGTGAATGAGAAGATGCCCTTCACAAGGAAATATAAAAATAAAAAAAGTGATAAGAAGTTTCGAACCCCAGCCGAGATCGAAATAAAAATCAAAACAGCTTCGGTGCCGCGCCTGTCGGAAGTGTCGGTGGTAGTGTACAAAAAAAAATGAATTTCGCGCGGGCTATGGGAGGATGCAATAAAAAACAAAATTCAGACTTGCGTAATGTCGGTGTCGGTGTCGGTGTCGGTGTCGGTGTCGGGACAGTGGTTGTTTCGTTTAAAGGGTCGTTCAAGGTTGTTCGTTCAGCACGGTTCCGCCTCTGATCTAGCTCTTGTGACAAGGTCAGCGAAGGGTACTACAACACTACACAACACAACACCGCAACGAGACGGCCTGCGCGCGCGTGCAACAGTCCCTACGCATAAGGCCGGGGCGCTGCGGTTGCCGCCGTCTCGCTCGGCCGCGGGAGGGGCGGCTCACAGCACGAGCTGGTTGAGGTTGCGCTGGATGATCATATCCTGGACGGAATCCATGGTGATCTTGAGCAGGTTCGTGTCGGTGGCGTTGGTGAAGTGACCGTAGACCTCCTTTTGAGGGTTGCGGTTGAGCGCCTTGAACTTGTCGAGGAAGTACTTGGAGGTGGCTTTCGAGTCGCTGGCGTCGCCGACAAAGTCGGGGAAGCCGTGCTTGGTGATTGGGTTGTCCTTGATCTTGGACTTGAAGAGATCCATCTTGTTGAGGAAGAGGATCAGCGCCGAGCGCGTGAACCATTGCGAGTTGACGATCGATTCCCATAGCATGAGAGCTTCTTGCATTTGGTTCTAAGAGAGGGTGTTAGCGCGCCCTGATTCGGTGCGTGTGCTGGGGCCAAAAAAGGGGGAGGGAGACATACGCCATGCTTGTCTTCAACAAGACACTGATCGTAACCGCTAATGGCAACAAGGAAGAGCAGACAGTTAACATTCTCAAAACAATGAATCCACTTCTTGCGCTCAGAGCGCTGTCCTCCGACGTCAAACATGCGGTAAGTTAGGTTCCCCAGATCAAAGACCGTCTCAGTGATACCTGTCGTGCGCAGGCGCGAGCGCAGCACATCCTGATCTGTAGGTATGTAGTCGCGCGCAAATAGGCGGTCTACGTCTTCGAAGAAGCTGCGGGAGGGAGTAATATGTTAGCATTGACTATTGGGGGGTGTTGATGTAAGGGGGTTATAAGGTGTACGCACTAGTTCAGGTTATCGTGTAAAGCATATTCGTTCCCCTTCTCAATCGCCTTCTGCACCCCTGCATCCGACCACAACCCTTTAAACAGCGTCTTATATTCCGTCGGTAACGGGTCCTTCGGTCCCAAATCATGGTCGACGAGGATGAGTGTGATACATTTCTGCAGCAACCACATACGTTAGCCCCATCCATACACACGCACGCACCAACGCCCGCCACAGTCCCAAGCGAAACCCGTAACCATGGCGCCGGGAGCGGAAATGACGGGGCAGGAGAGGAGGACCCACGCTATTGAATTGGCCTTCGAACGGGATCTCGAAATCCTCCATGGCGTCGAGGATGACGCGGAAGGCGGTGAGGATGTTGTTGAATATGATGGCGCGCCATTCCTCCTTTTCGCTCTTGGAGAAGCCTTGGGAGTAGATGAGGCGCATTTGCTTCAGCACGGTGGACTTGCCGCTCTCGCCGGCACCTGGGGATCGCACGCATTGTTAGCCGCGGCAATTGTGAGGCGACAAAGGTCATAGGGAGGGAGTCGGTTCGTGTGAATTGGATTGGGAATTGGCAGTTGAGAATTGGGAATTGGGAATTGGGAATTGGGAATTGGGAATTGGGAATTGGGAATTGGGAATTGGGAATTGGGAATTGGGAATTGGGAATTGGGAATTGGGAATTGGGAATTGGGAATTGGGAATTGGGAATTGGGAATTGGGAATTGGGAATTGGGAATTGGGAATTGGGAATTGGGAATTGGGAATTGGGAATTGGGAATTGGGAATTGGGAATTGGGAATTGGGAATTGAGAAGGGGAATTGGGAATTGGGAATTGAGAAGGGGAATTGGGAATTGGGAATTGAGAAGGGGCAGTTTTGCTCACCTAATAGCAGCAGCTTGACCTCCCTCGCGGCCCTCTTCTGATCAGCCTTGATAGTCTTCTCGATCTCGCGGTTCTTCGCCAGACCCTCCTGGTCCGCGCCGCCGCCACCGCCGCCGCCGAAGCACATCTTGCCTGCGGGGTCTGGGAGTTTCGTGTGAAGGGTGAAGGGTTCCGGTGGTGGTCGTGGCGGTTCGCAGTCGTGTCGGCGCGGGCGGGAAGCTAATTGGGATGTGGTTGGTGATGTGTGGGACAGGACATAGGAGGAGGGAGGACGAGCGCGGGTGTTTCGGTGGTGGTGATGTTGGAGGAGAGATATGAGCGAGACAGGACAGGATAGGATAGGAAGGGCGAGTACGACGAGACACGGACGGAGTCGAGCTTCAGGTGGTGGTACTTGGGTCAGTAGATTGTTAGTCGTAGTAGTACAAGTACAGTAAGTTTTTAGTAGTGGAGTAGTGGTAGTAGTGGAGTAGTGGTAGTAGTGGTGGAGTGGCAGTAGTGGAGTGGCACTAGTGGAGTGGCACTAGTGGCAGTAGTGGTAGTGGTGGAAGTAGTGGGGTGACAGTGGTGGAAGTAGTGGAGTGGCAGTAGTAGTGGAGTGGCAGTAGTAGTGGAGTGGCAGTAACGTAAGTCGTGGCGTCATGAACAACAACAAAAATAAAATTATATATACTCTAATCCTCAATTAAAATACAATTAGATACTTCTTCTAAGTTCTTTTCGATAGATTCTTTATTTCTTTCGCTCAATTATAGCCTTGTTTGTGGTTCTACTGCCTGTTACTATTGACTTCTATCAAGTAGCCTCCTCTGCCTCAATGACCTGTAGCTGCAATTCCCTTGTAGAAATATGAAAATGACCCTTTAAAATTGCTCGCTTGCCTTTTTGCTGTACTCTCCAAGCTTGAACAATTGATCGTAGATTATCAGTATCACGTTGTTGTAGAAAATTGCGTGTATTTAGTCGCTCTGTTGCATCTGCTAACCTTTGAATATATCGCTTTGTATAAAATGAGGCTATTTACATAAACCAGCTATCTAAAGTTCCCTATGCCTTAGACTTAGCAACTATAAGCCCTAACTCTCTCTTAAAGCTTCTTAAGGGACTGTAAATACACTGTTGCATCCTTCGTGCTACTATTCCTAGATTCTATGAACTTAATCAGACGTTATATAGCTTGATGTACAGCTTGTGGTGTTAGTATAGGCTGTGGATTAAGCTCTTCATCCTCATCATCATCTTAAGCCTTAGTATCTAGTATATATTATGAAATGACCTGCTCTAACAGTATATCCTCCCCTATAGGCTCTGTAATGCTCTCCTCCATTGTCTCTATGTCCTCCTCTACTAGATTTAAGAAGTTCAAGAGATCTATAGCATCGCGGATGTAGCCAACTTGTTGTACTTGCTAATAAAGGTTGTTTATATTAGGAAGAGGGTGTATTAGAAGCTAAATTAGGCGTTAGAGAATTGTGCTTTTTTGAAAGCAGTTATAGATAGTTGTGTTTGTAACATCATGAGTCTATGATCAAATGAGCCATTGAATAACAAGTCAGACATTCATTGCTTAGACAGTCTTTATTCGCTTTGTAACATTCAAGCATATACTAGAGCCACTGTTGCTAATAGTATGCTTTAAGGGCAGTAATGATACCTTAATTAAGAGGATAAATCAGCTATTTAGGGGAGGAGGAGTTGATTTAATAGTAGCGATATGTGCTAAGAAGTTATCCATCGTTAGGAGTATTGATTGAGATGTGCCTACTTGTAAATAGAAGGCCTTTAACCATTCTGCTATAATGAACTGATTCATCTAAGCCTTTTTATTCCATCTCTAAATGCCTACCATTACTATGACTTTAACATCTTGAAGAGCTCATAGTGTCTTTGCCTTTCTAATAAACCATAGAGGAAATCGGTCTGTGCTGGTTGAATTAACACAGACAACTACTAATATCCTTGCTTTCTCTCTTTTCTAACCTATAGCCACCTCTGCTATTATAAAGCTCCTTAATAGGGTCATCTTCTAGTATAGTCCTGTTTCATCTATGTTGTATATATCCTTCTCTAAGTATCCCCCTACTACTGTTTGAATTACTTGCATCGCTTCCTCTACTATAGCTAGAATGTCATACTGACATTCGTTGCACTCAGTTTGCTATCAAACTCAAGAGCAAACTTGGAAATCTCCTCCTCAAACCTACAAGTCACTATACATATTTTGGCTTATCACACCAACAACAAGAGCAATACTACTCAACGATTGCTACAACCATCTATGATTCATTACACGTCATCGCTCCTTAGTTACTGGGCCGATATTACCACATAGCATATCTCTACAACCCTCTATGATTCATTACATGACATCACTCATACTACCACATGACATATCTCTACCAACTAGAGGCCTAGGAGCATGAACGATAGCTCTAAAAGCTCCTACGAACCTCTATGATTCATTACATGTCATCGCTCTTTAGTTACCCACAAGATTGGTTAAGTTATGAATCTAAAAAGGATGGATCCTAGAAAATATATTAAGATATCATAAATACTTGTGTATTGACTTAACAGATCAGGTGGAGTGGCAGTAGTGGTGTAGTGGTGGAAGTAGTGGAGTGGCAGTAGTGGTAGTAGTGCAGTACTACGCCAACAGCGGTGGTGTGGGGGGTGCCAATTCCTTGCATACATAGTAGGTACATCCCCTCCCATACACTCTTCGCAGCAAAGTAAAGTACTCCCAATGCCAAACTCTCCCTTCCCATCTTCCCATCCTCGGCGCCACCGTAATCAAGAAAGTGACAAAGACACCTCTAACCTCACCCCCCACCCATCCCTGTATGCACGCATCCCACCATCCCTGTATGACCCATCCCTCCCTCGCCGTTTCCAGCCTAGCCCACCCGTCCAAACCAAATTCCCACCCCCACGTACCTCCAACTCGTGGCACGCCTGCAGTGCAACTCGTCATCCTCAATCGGTCATCCCCCCCAACCAATCATGAGCTTCGTTGTGTCTGCGGTCCGGGACATGCGCAGAATGGCTGAACGACGCCCCCACCGTTGTTGAGAAGGAGGCTTGCTTGGTTGCCGCTTGGGTTCGCGACGGCGGCGTTGGCCTTGTCCGAAAGCACATCACCGAAGCGAAGAAAACAGATGCATGCACCAGCGCTCAAGCACTCTCTCTAATGTGGTGCAGGCAGTTATAACCACCATGCCGATATTAGACGACTGCCATCCCATCCCACCCACCCTGCACACTCCTGAGCAAAAGCAAATTAAGGACCGCTACCCATCCCCCGGCCCCTCAGCCACCACGCAGCGCGAATAGATTGCCCACTCTGGTGTGCAGCTCATTACGGAGTGGCCCCCCCCTTGGCTGCATCATCCGTGTGCGACGCCGGCGCGCCCTCGCCACCACTCGCGTGGAAGCAGCGTGGACACCGGCCACCCGCACTCATGCAGTGCGGTGCGAGGCGTGTGTAGTGGTGGAGTGGGGACCACAATACAGCGTCTACCTACCTATCCTACTCATGCAAATCATTGCCATGAACAGACGAGCTGTCACATTCCCAACCATGTGGTGGTGCTGGTGAACTAGAAGAGGCGAGAAATTGCGGCGGCGGCGGATCGGCTGGGCTGTTTTAGGAGGTTGTTTGTGCCGCCCCCGGGAGGATGGGACGTGGAGGCATAGTACAGTATGGATGGGAGGGATGAGGGGGAGGACGGGGTGGGCTGGATACGGGTGCTGCTGTAGGGGTGTATACCCTGCCATGCAAGGTGGACTGTGAGTGTCACTGTCAGCACTTACTCACGCTGTAACGCGGGAGGCGCGGCGACGCTTTGGGGGGGGTTTATCTGGGGAGGGAGATGGACCGATTCGGTGAAATTTGTCATCGTGGTCGTGGCCCGATTCAAAAGCTTCCTGTTTCCACTTCCACTCATCCTCTCTCCCCACCACACAAAGCCCACAGTAGCGTAATGCGCGGTCCGAGTTGACGTCTGCCCAACCAAGATCCAGCCGTTATGACCACCACCACAGCCCAGCCCAGCCCAGCCACTGCTGTGGACAAAAAGAGGCTGCCCCACACACAACCAATAATCGTCGTGACCAAACTTTTCCCTTCGCTCTGTTGTAGGAAGGACCGAGATATTGCGACCGCGCGCAAATCGTGTGGTGTCTTTGGTGACCGAGCCTTCGCGCTTTTGCGCAACGGGCAGGAAAACTCGACAGTAGACTTCTCGACAGTAGACTACTCGAAGGTCAGCCTCTGTAAGGACGCAGGGCACCGTATCACGAGAAGTGGCATATGGGAGTGCGAGTCGGATATGAGTCGGTGCAATCCTATAGGTCTACTACGAAGGATACAAAAAAGATGAAGGTGTAACCCTGTATGACTGTTCCCTTAAAATACCCGAAACCGCTCCGACTCAGCTAGCTCCCTGTTTGCCTAAGGCTTCCTTACGTTATGTGCCTAAGGCTGTCAGTCGCGACTGACCCGTAACGGCCCCGAGTCTCGATGACGCCACGTGACGGCCGTAACTACCCCGAGTAAGGAGGCATCCTTACACTACCCCCGCCTTGAGAAGGTGCTTTGTCCTCAAAGCACGCAAGCCGAGTAGCTGCCGCGACGAGCCCTTGTTTGGGTTGGTGGGTGAGGTGCGGGCGCCAAGACTAGAATGCCCTTTGTTTGTCCAGAAGGCTGATGGTAGGCGGCCGTATAGGCACTAGAAGTGGTCTGAATCCG